TTCCTAATATTAATCTAATTGTATGAAAACTATACTTAATTGAAACTAAGTTGGAGTTATTAGTTTAGCCAAATAGATTTTAACACTTACTTGATCTCCCTTGTTCAATATAACTGATGGTAGTATAACTAAAAAAATTTCTGGAGGTTGTAAAGCACTGAACTAAAATAAACTCTGTTAAGTCAAATCATTCGATGAGTAGCACACATTCGAGTCAAGTTCACAGTTAATTTTCACACACTTTACACAAGAAAAAAACAAAAATTATAACTCAATTATACGTAATTCTCCGAAACGACGCCCAGTTACACCACATATTTTGACAACCAAAGAAACAAAATACTACAAATTCTGCTCGGATCTATTCCATGTTTTATAAGCTACAAACACTAAACTCAATCTTACCATTACCTCTGCCTAAAGATAAATCATATAATTGTTCACAAACTTGCCACAACATACGGAATTGTAAATATATAAATTGGTTGAGACCTATTTTACACTACTAAAAACTTCAGTGAACAAAAAATGTGCCGGTGGTTTTTACACAATGTTTTGATTGTGTCATGACTTTTGTCGAATTATAACGTTGTAAAGGGCGTTCAGAAAAATGGTTTTGTAATCATTTTTATTTTGAGAGACAACGTGATAAAATAATAGATGTTTTAAGATAAACTTTGAATATGAAACGTTTTTAAAATAAATTTAAATAATTTATTTTAGTTGTACGTTGTTATGTTATATCTTTTGTTGGTCTTTCACATCGGTGATAAATATTTAATTACTAAACTCAAATATATCTAGTTCAACTTATCTAAAGTATAAGTTTTATCAATTCTGTCATTATGACATTGAAATTATTTATTATTTTTTAATTTTGTAGAACTAAAATATAAATAAGTAGGTATATTGAAAAGTTTTAATCCATGAACCGATTGTTTTTCTCGCATAAAAAAAAATAGAGAACCAGAACTTCAAGAAGTGATTTGTTTCCATATTTCACTTAGGATAGGAACAATCGTTAGTAAAATGTGGAAATGAAATGGTCTTCCTGTAGTAGTAGTTTTTACGTGTTCCTCTTTGTCAAGGCTGACGTTGGGACCACAAAAATGTAAGATATTTCTTTCAATTATTAGATACATGATTTACCAATTTTAACACATCAGGTATATGTTTTTATATCAATTAGTTGGGGTGTTGTAACCAATAGAGAATAGTTTTTCGCAATATCAGCAGTAAGTTTTTTTCTTTTCTTTTTGGTATTGAAGAACATTTAGTCTAGGAGCCAGATAAGGTTCCGTGGCCAATCAGAGTGCCACGGCTGCAAACAACTTATTCTTAAGTATTTTGACCCCTGTATCCAAAAAACTTGGTCGCAAAGCCTGAAAGTGGTGAGTTTAATTGCTATTAACAAATTAAATGTTTAAATGGCTGTAAAAAGTTTATTATTATAGCTAGTACAATTTTTTATGCGTTAATAGTTACGTTTGCTCATAACAAACATATATTTTTTTGAAAATTAACAAAGATTAACTTTAACCAAAGTTATTGCTTTAGTGCAAATATCTTACATTTCCCGCGTCCGCGCGCACAAATTTTACCATATCTCTGGTTCTATTGGATGGATTGAGACGCACGACATCTCATTTTAAAGCATGAACCTTATTTTACAGGATAGGTAAATTCCATTTATTAATTTATTTATTTAACAATTAATGGTAGCTTAGAAAGTTGTGAAATTTCAACGAAAATGCTGGTTTTATTTGTTTATAAGGCTTTTTTTTATTATTCAACTTCGATGAAATGCTAAAACAGTTACCGGATATTGTTCCTCGCATCCTAGCAATCATTTCATGCCTTATAGTTATTAGCTTTTCTTTATCAAAACCCGTGAGGAGACGCGCGTACGTCGAGAACGATGTACGCGCGATTGATTGAAAGCTCAGAGTGCAAGAGCACGAGTGTTATAAACTTTTATTATTAAGAAGTGACCAAGACTAAATAATAAAAAAGCATTAACAATTGATTTTAATTACCGATATTTATAAGATTTACATAAATAATAACAGCAATTGTTTAAAGATTTTAATTAATTTATTTCTTTTTTTATAATGGGCTCATTATACACATTTTTGCAGGTGCCTTGCCTTTGACAATATTTAATTTCTGCAGCCACATAAACACATGATCTTCTAGAGCATACTTTACATGTGCAATTAGTGCTGAGTTCATCTGGTGGAGGAAGCAATATTTATATCTTTTTTGGAGCAAGCATATCTCCATTATCTATCCAGCCAAACATGTGTGGGGTCTGACTTTGCAGCGTGGTTATTAAAACAATTTACCTGATTTTAAACTATATACACCTTAAAATGTGAAGTTGTATTGCCGCACTTGTAGGAGGCAGCTCTTCTATTAAAGCGGATTTTGAACGGCGATAAGACCATACTCGTAGGTCATCAAACTTCTTACAGGTTGTACCTCTCTTTACGACTTTAACTAAATATTCTTCTACCATACTATTTGCTTCGATAGTGGTTTCAGAATAATCTATAAAATGAAACTTCGCATTTTTAAATATTTAAACTACCGGTTATATGATTAATTTTATTAATGCCTTCACAATGAAATTTACAATGGACTACATTTTACCTTTTCCAAAAATTTATCAAATAGTTTGTAGGATCTCCTTGCAAAGCCGAATGGTGTTTGTAATCGTTGTTTAATAGATTAATATCAAAAACATATAAGTATATAATGCACTTGCACGCAGAGCTTTCGATCGAGCGCGCGTACATGGCTCTCGACGTACGTGCGTCTCTTCACGGGTCCAAGAGAATTAAGCTCAAAACCTTCGAGATATGGCTGTTGCTTGACGTAGATTAGATATTAGTAAAAATTGGTCGAAAATGATATAAACAATGAAAATATAAGGTTGCGCCAAGAAAAAAAGTTGTGCTATTTGCAGAAAAAATTAAAAACTGCAAAAATACTCAAAAACCACGTGTTTTTCCTAACATTTTCCAATATAACTTCTTAAATATGCAATTTACAGAACAAATTATTACTGATGAAATTATTTGTTATGAAATTTGCTATAAGACAGAATTGTTTTGATACCTGCGCATTTCATATTTTTGTTGCTAGATAGCCAAAACAGCGTGAGAAAGTGATGAAAATCGAGGTAATTTTGAAGCATTCAACTAATAGGTAAGAAATTGTCCAATTCTACTATAAATGTAGATGTAACTACTTTAAAGAATTACAAAACGAAATCCCAAAACCCGATCGAAATCGGTCTAATATTTTTGGTATGAGACAATTTGTTACTAAATTTTAGCGCGAAATGTCGTTTTTTTGCGTCAGTGCTGAGGTTAAAGTTAGGCATTTTAATTGGCGCTGATTTTTTTACACATACTTGGACTCTTTAACTATCATATAGAATCATTGTAATATTAATTTTCTTTTTTTTTAATAATTTTTGGAGCGATTTTAAAAATTCGAAAAATTTTGACTTTATAAACAAATACTTTCGTGAAGCGGTTTTGCGGGTTGGAATATATACCAAAGTACTAAAAAATAGTTCTCGGAAAGACGCTTAACTTGAAAAAAAGAACGTTCAAATCGGTCACATAAGTTCCGAGATATCAAGTGTCAAAGTCAACAAGCGTTAGCTGCAAAACTATGCATAATGTAACAACAACAAAAATTGAATTTGGTAGGTTTTTTAAGAACTTTTCGTATGTGCTTTTATAAATATTATCGCACGTGTGCTTTTTATATGAAAATTCAATGAATATCGCCAAACCGACCATTTGAGCCGCAAAACCGGGGGGAGGGGATGAATTATAGAAATTGAAATCGCGTTCAAAAAGAGCGCGCGCGCTTCGGCGTTCAGTATCTCGGCTTCTATGGCTCCGATTTTGATGATTTTTTTTTAAATCGATGTAGAAAAATGAGAGGNTTACCTATCAGTTAAACGCTTCAAAATTACCTCGATTTTCATCACTTTCTTACGCTGTTTTGGCTATCTAGCAACAAAAATATGAAATGCGCAGGTATCAAAACAATTCTGTCTTATAGCAAATTTCATAACAAACAATTTCATCAGTAACAGTTTTTTCTGTAAACTGCATATTTAAGAAGTTATATTGGAAAATGTTAGAAAAACACGTGATATTTGAGTATTTTTGCAGTTTTTTATTTTTTCTGCAAATAGCACAACTTTTTTTCTTGGCGCAACCTTGTATTTTCATTGTTTATATTATTTTCGACCGATTTTTACTAATATCTAAACTACGTCAAGCAACAGCCATGCCAATGTGTAATTCTCCTGGACTATATAGCATGAAATGATTGTTAGGATTCGAGGGACAATATCCGGTAACTTTTTTGGCTTTTCATCGAAGTTGAATAATAAAAAAAGCCTTATAAACAAATAAAACCAACATTTTCGTTGAAATTTCACAACTTTCTAAGCTCAATCCGTCCAATAGAACCAGAGATATGGTAAAATTGCTGCGCGCGGAGACGGAAAATGTAAGATAATTTGCACTAAATTTGCAATAACTTTGATTAAAGTTAATCTTTTTTTAATTTTCAAAAAAATATATATCTGTTATGAGTAAACGTAACTATTAACGCATAAAAAATTGTACTAGCGATAAAAATAAATTTTTTACAGCCATTTAAACATTTAATTTGTTAATGACAATTAAACTGACCACTTTCAGATTTTGGATTCAGGAAGCCAAAATACTTAAGAATAAGTTGTTTGCAGTTGTGGCACTCTAATTAGCCACAGAACCCTATCTGGCTCCTAGACTAACTGTATGATTTAATTCTATAAGATTTAAAAAAAAAGTTGAATTTGAATTAGATTTACAATAAAGTACAAAAATATTGAAATTTAATTTAACTATTTTAGCCAGATGTTTGAACAAAATAAGTAGGTATATAAATACCATACATAGGTGACGGTCTTTTTATTCAATTTACAGTTTGTCCATCGCATCTGGAGCTTTATACGTCCGAAAATATTTCAACGAAGAAGCTAGACAGAACGCCAAGGAAATGGTAGCGGATATCAGGGCGGAATTCCAGGACATCTTGAATAATGTAGATTGGATGGACGACGAGACCAGGCAAAACGCTTTGGATAAAGCAAAATCTATGGCCACCCATATCGCTTATCCCGATGAATTATTGGATGATAATAAGCTGGAAGAATTCTACGATGGGGTGAGATAACAATAATATCAATAAATCAGTTCTATTTCATTTAGCTTGATACTTTATTTTTATTGTGTTAGTATGTAAAAGTACCTAACAGAAGTGTGTTACCTTGGGATTACGATCACTTTATCTTTTTTATTTATTGACCGGTTCTAACGAAGATAGACCTCTTGATTGCGTGTCGAAATTATGTCATAAGACTCATAAGGATCATTTAATATTTCCAAGACACGCCCAACTACGACTAGTTTTAGAGTGCACAAATTCTAGAAGTATTATTAAAGATTATTGTCTTTCAAGGAAAAAATTACAACGGATTCTTACGGGGGTAGCCTGAACCATGAACACACTAATTTTTTAGTACCATTCTCATATACAGGGTGCTTCTATAACTCTAGTAATAAAACGGAGAAGTATCTAAAATAAAATTTTCATCAAATCAATTTCATCACTCATTTACTTAAGCACAATAAAATATACCTTCTACTTTTAAGTTAAAAAAATACAAATCTACTTTTAAAAATAATAACTAATTTTTGAAAATAAAAAAATTTTTTTTAATGTTTAAGGTGGGTTAAACTGGTACAACCCCTAGTACAACTAGCTGTTGTACAAGGTGTTGTGAGTATAATTCAATGCCGGTCGGGGCATATAGCCAGCGGAGTAGTTGTTTCTCGCAACACTGGCAATTTAAAACATTTTATTTTCTCCTAGTTGGCGACGGTCATGCAAATAAGTAGGTACCTGGCAAATTTTAGCAGGTCGCTTCCTACTAGTAGTGGCCATGTGAATGGAGTAGTTGGGAAGTAGCACGATAGATGGAATCATTTACGCTCTGTGTATGAAAAGAATACTTCACTCTTAATAAACTAGGTGGAGAAAATTCTTATACCTCACAAAACAAAGTTAAAGCAGTGAACTTTCAGTAAGACCACCGTGTTCTAATACAATTTTTTTTATATGTCGTCTGTTAGCGTTTTTTGTTGTTCGTTTATTGTTTTTTTAATGCACCCCACACCCCACAGAAAATTAGAAAGAAGCCGACCGGTGTATATTTAAAAAATGTCAAGAATTTAATTTGGTAGGTATAATTTTTATTCGACAAGCTTTTTTGTATTGGTCTGGTAATATTACCAGAGCATTACAAAAATGTTCTACAGGCCACCCTGAATAAGAATTTGTTGGAATTTTTTCCTTAAAAGAATCCCTAATAATATTTTTTTCTAATTTTGCACCAGAAAAGTAATTGTGCTTGGGTGTGGCTTCGAATTATAAAATGGTTGGAATATATTTTCGACGTGCTTTTAAAATCTAACAAAAAAGGTTCGTTACGGTTGGTCAATAAATAAAAAAAATTACAGATATGGATAATCCTTAAATGGAATAAACTTAAACTACACTATATAATACACTGTAGTATATTTATATTGGAATATGGAAATTAGAGGTGAAAAGACTTTTTCATGATTGTTATTGAGTTTTCGAAATTCAGTTGTCATATTACATTTTTAAACAAATCAATTATTATCATTGATACTGCGTTTTCTGCCTAACTTTTGAAAGATCGTGGAGCCATCAAGAATAATTTTGGGAAAAAGTTAACTTTTGGTTTATTTTGGTAGGAGTATAAAATACACATTATGAAACATACTTTTATTGTAGTTGGAACTGGATCCTGAACAATACATGAGGTCCATTCTGAATCTAACACTGTTTGGTACACGATTTTCCTTCAAACGTTTAAGACAACCTGTGAACAAAACTGACTGGATTACTCATGGCAGACCAGCAGTCGTCAACGCTTTCTATTCATCAATTGAAAACAGCATCCGTAAGTAAAAACTAAGACCTAATTCTTAAATTTCACCAAAGTCGTTTCTAAATTGACAGGTTAAACACCAGCAGTTTTCTTAAAAGATTTGTCTCATTCTGAAACGCAAATTCCTTTTGTTTGTGGATATGTTCGAGTTGAGAACAAACCTGAAACATTAATATACCTAAAACATGCATCTTGCTTCTGAACTGACTGAAACAAGTACAAATCAGCGTATTTATCTTTAGGTTTAATAATAGTTTGAAGTTGCAGTTGCTCTTACGTTTTCCTCAGCATATAATTAACATATTAAGCATAAGCACAATGGAATTTATGGGACAGGATCCACTAGATTTGATTCGGCAAATCAACTCCATTAGACTACTCCGCTGGTGTTTGACCAATATATGGTTATAAGCTTTAGCAGCTGATTGCAATCAGAAATACCTCTGAATAATACCTAAACCGTGAATTATCCTCTTATACACATATCAAAAACTTTCATCTTCTAGAATTTCCCGCTGGAATCCTCCAAGGTGTCTTCTTCAACGCCGACCGTCCAAGATACATGAACTACGGTGCCATTGGTTTCGTAATTGGGCACGAAATCACCCATGGTTTCGACGATCAAGGAAGACAGTTCGACAAAAATGGTAACCTGGTGGACTGGTGGCAAGAAGGAACCAAAAAGGCTTTCGTTGAAAAGGCCCAATGCATCATTGATCAGTATGGAAACTATTCAGTGCCCGAACTCAAACTTAATGTAAGTTTTGAATATTTTTTTTGCGTAGCGATGGTAGTGGAAAATATTTAGGGAAATATTCTGGACAGAGAATTAATTCTGGTCTTTCCATTCACGTGCTCATTCCAGTTTAATTTCCTAGGTATTTGTAGTTGTAACAGTATTTTGTGTAAGCTTGGTTTGTCTTAGATGTCTTTACCGCTATTAATATTAGAAAACGTTATACTGACCATTATTATACGTTGAAAGCTTTATTGCGTTGGTTTAAATATAGATGTAGTTTTCATATTTTGCAAATTTGCTTAGTATTTTTTTGCTAACAAGTATTTTAATTTGTATTTATTAATACGTTTTATAGTTTTGTTGGCACACTGTATTTTTATTGTACGCACTTTATTTACTTTTATCAATTTAATTACAGCATTTAGTAAAAAAAAGTTATTAAATAACCAATAGAAATTTACAACATTGTACATGATTGCTATATACATACTGGAATCTAGGAGTACATCGCTCTTGCAACCCGACAATATTAATTTGTATTTTTTTAAGAGACTATTTCCTTTCATGAAGGGTAGAAAGGGTACCTATCAGATATCCTTCTTTTTATTTCATCTCAATTATCTCATGGCTTGTTCAATATTTCTCTTAGTATATCCACTCCTTCTGATTATAAGTGACGTAATTTCTCGTCTAAGTGTTCTGTCTCGTAGATGGTACGCGCTTGACACCTTAAAGTGTTTCTGGGCAGGATGCTGATGAAACTCAACATTCAGAAACAATACATGTGGATTTGGTTTGCTTCAAATGCAATGTCCATTCTGTGTTGTTTTATTTGTAAGATGCATGATAAATGTATTATCGACATATCCATAGCGACACTATGAAAGTTGTTGATTGTAGGGTCTTCTACTCTAGCGCTTTCATGCAGGTATTTGCCAAGGACTTGCTTAAAGATAAAACAAATCTCTAAAGGAGGAGGTCCATCTGTTGTACACTTTTGACCTCTTTCTAATCTTGTTGGGCAAAAAGGAATAGTATATAATAAAGGTGGTCTTCTTTTGTTTTCTTCGAAATTTTAATTATTGTGTTTTAATTTGGTTCTATTATTCTTCACTTGCGACTGTAAAACCGGAATAGAAGCAAGATTCCAATAAATACAAAGTATGTTCAACAGCTACGTGTTCAGACGATTTCTAGTGTGCGTTTAGTTTATGGACACTTGAAAGTTAATAGTGATAGAGAGTTTTCTATGCACTTGTAATAAGGTTTACGTATAATTCTTTGGGAACTCCTTCTACTTCCTATTCAACATTATTGAACGGATATTTTTTTCCCTCTGTTCCATCAGGTTCTTCAAATTACCGATATACTTTGTTATGTCCATGGTAGTAGTTCTATTTCCTTGATTTAGCACAATTACTTTCTAGATATTACAGAATGTAACTCTTTCTAATCTTGTTGGGCAAAAAGGAATAGTATATACTAAAGGTGATCTTCTTTTGTGCTCCAGGAAATTTTAATTATTGTGTTTTAATTTGGTTCTATATTCTTCACTTGTGACTGTAAAACCGGAATAGAAGCAAGATTCCAATAAATACACAAAGTATGTTCAACAGCTACGTGTTCAGACGATTAGTAATACAAATTAAATGTATATGAAATATTTTGGTGTCTAAAGTAACAACAAACCTCACCTAGTGTTTAAATAAAAATTCAAGAAGTATTTAATGCTGGAATTTACATATTAGTCGTTCTGTTTTCTTCTTGTTACACATTTATCTTTTAAAGTAGCTATATCTAAATAGGAATGCAAAAGATGAAAAAAAATATATATTTCAAAGCAGTTCCTATGCATCGTTGAATTGCAACACTCTACATGTTGCTTTTTTTAGAAATTTGCTGAAGATAGAATGACCACTAGAACATAAATTCACGTGAAATGATGTTCAGTATAACGATGTGATCTGCATCCGGCATGAAATATGCATCCGGTAATCCACTAACACTCATTCGCTTAAATGTTACTTTCAGTTGAACGGCATTAACACACAGGGAGAAAATATCGCCGACAACGGCGGTATAAAGGAGGCGTATTTAGCTTATAATAGATGGGTAGACAGAAATGGTGAAGAACCGTACTTGCCTGGTCTTAGGTACACAGGTCGACAAATGTTTTGGGTGTCCGCAGCCAGTATCTGGTGCTCGGAAACGAGAAACGAAGAACTGCAACAGTTAATAGTGACCGACGAACACGCGCCAGACAAATATAGGGTCATTGTTCCGTTGTCTAACATGGAATACTTCGCGAAAGATTTCAAATGCCCAGTCGGGTCGAAGATGAACCCTGAGAAAAAGTGTAGCATTTGGTAGAAACTTATGTAAATTGAACACGCTTCAATTTCTGATTGTGTAGAGTAGAACGTAAAATACCGCACACACACTAAAAAAATATCATGAAATCTCTCGAGCTAGAAAACAATACACAATATGAGATAAAATTTTGATAAGGGTCACGTTGTAGGAAATATAACTTGGGAAAAGAGTGAGTGACTGAGTAGGTACTTAATTTAAAGTTATTAAAATAAAAACGTGGAATAAAATAACTTTGGAATATTTATTATAAGTATAAATGTTTTGATCGAATAGGAAATAAACTAAGACACTTTTTATATTCGAAACTTCTGGGCAATTTAAATCTTTTTAAATCGTAGATTGGCTTTATGTTCGACAAAATTTATGAAGAGAAGCGGACACTTTTCTCAGTGCGCTGTTGTGTATATAAAATTTTGATGATTCACGTGATGCTCCAGCACATTTTCGTCCTTATTTTCGATAGTTCCAGTATAGGAAGTACAATCAAAATTTATTATGAACTAAAAACCATTATTATTTAAAAAAGAAACCTCAAATTATGCTGCATACGCCAGAGCTAAATGCCAAAGCCAAAGCTAAAATCTTAGCTTTGGTTGTCTTTAAATTATTACATAAAGATTATTTTATTATAGTCTATTTTTATAAGATTTCTTTTATAAAGAAGTACGCAAATTTTTTTCTTATTGGAGCTATCTGAAATAACGCTAGTGTCACAAGATCGACATCTCTGTACGTATTTTACCTCACACTTTTTATTAGGCATAATTGTACATATTTAGTTGTTAACAGTATATAAGTTTTGTAAAATTATTTTATTTATATTTAGGTATGTTTAATAAAAACTAGTTTTTATAGCTGTTACTTTGATTTAGTTGGAAGAGGTGTGTGGTGTTTTAATAATTTTTAGGTGGGAAATTTGATTGGAATTGGAGATGGAAGTTGAAGGTAGCGGGTAAACAAGTATGTATGATTTCCGTAGTATTTACTAAGGGCATGTACTTACTGCATCCTAACATTCTAACTAAACTACCGACCGACGGTTTATTTTATTTTTAGATGTGAATGAGGTATAACCAGTATAATTAATTAACATTTTTTTTATTAACACAGGTGAAGAATTGTCCCCACTAAACATTATGATTTAATTTTATCTGCTCTTTATCTTTCTAGGATTACAGAAAAATATTTGATAGGGTCTAAAGTAAATCTGAACAGTTATATAAATTTGTACGAAGTCTTCAGTTAGCGATTGAAGATAGTTAAGTAGAGAAAGCTTTACATAGTTTTATTAAATCTAATTTTTGATGTACTCCTGTATTATTCTTTAGGGTCTAAAGTAAATCTGAACAGTTATATAAATTTGTACGAAGTCTTCAGTTAGAGACTGAAGATAGTTAAGTAGAGAAAGCTTTACATAGTTTTATTAAATCTAATTTTTGGTGTACTCCTGTATTGTTCTTTACTTTTTATTTTTATAAGACCCCTTAGTATTTAGTTCGGATAGTTTGTAAAGACGAACTCAATCGTATATAAAAAAGTCATTTTCAAGATAATAAACAAAAACAAGGTGGTCGATACAGATGCATTTTATCCCTTCCTATTTCCACCAAAATTAATCAATGTAAAGAAATTGCATTTTTATTGAAATTAATTATTGCAGAAAATTTCTTCGTAACAAAATGGTGCTTATGCAACACAATTAACAAATAATTTAATGAGATTATGGGACTTAACAACCATTTTGAGTAATAACATATTGCTATTTTCATTATCGTTATCTTGAGTTCATTCATGCTTTAGTTACTGAGATACAGGGTGGGCTATTAGTGTGAGAAAGTAAAATAACTCTCTTGTAATTCATAATACTGAAAAAAGTTTATGTAAACGTTGTACAAAATCAAAAAACCTAAAGAACAAAATAAATTTGAAACACAGGATAAACATATGGATTTCTGAGAAAATTCTATATATGGCAATATAAACAGTTTAACATTTTAGTACGGAGTTACCAAGTTATGTAGAATTTTTCGAATTTTGGAAAAAAAACATGACCTCGAAGAAGTTGTATTAACTTTCAACTACTAACACTTTGTAGCAAAAATATTTGACAGGGTTATAGGCAAATGTTAAGCAAAGACTATTAGCTAATATCGATATTTTATACAGGACATTTTTTATAATACGATCATTTTAAGAAAGTTCAAATTTGACGTTCTAAAATTTTTCAAATGGAACACCCTGTATTTTATTGTTCTATTTTATTCACATATCAGTCCACTTCAACTTTTATTAAGTATGTTCTACACCCAAAGTTGTTAGTTTTAGGATATAGCAACATTTCTGGAAAAACCTCATTTTTATTATTTTCGGTCTCACGAAATGTCTGGAAAAAACTGTCACATAGTGTCAACTTATCAGTTCATAATTTATCATTCCATTTTGGGTTAATTTTATTAGTTAATAGGTATTTATTTGTGGTCCACCCTGTATATAGAAAGAAGAACATAACAAATAACGTAAAAATAAATGTTATTGACAGTAGGTACTTGATTACTATATTTCAAATTTTAATTTTATTTCATCTTTATCAGAAGAGTTTAATTATTGTATTCACAAAAATCAGATGTATTGAACTTTTTCAAAATTATTTATATCTATATTAACAACAAAGGTTCTTTTTTCAAAGTAACATATAACTAATTTTTTTAGATAAAGATTAAAAATAAATGATGATTTAGAAAAACAACCGTAATCAATCTGTAGTCATACACAGAGTGTCCGGAAGAGAACTATAAATAAACCGATTTAGATCAAGTTGTCTTCCTTAAAAAACTACGGGCGTCCAAAGAAATTATTTTTATTCCTTTTTTAAGATAACTAATCATTTAAAAAAATATTTTAATAAAATTTGATTGGTGGAGAACTTTTCGTGTTTACTAAGATAAAGGGGTTATTGCAGTTTATTCCGATAGATGTTGACCTGTGAATGAGGGTAAATTGGCCTAACTCGTAAAAAATATTGAATTAATCTACGTATTTAGCAGAATTTAATTAAATGAGTGTAGAACATTCCCAAATTCTTAGCGGTCCATAATTGGTGACTGATGTAAAAACTGAAATCCTTTATTTTCTGGAGCAGTGGATTGTTAGCATTATGCAACAATATACCATTTTTAAAAGTAAATATAGTGGTATTTTAAACACCATCTACATTTTCTCAAAATAATATAACCGAAAACAAGTACGTTTAAGAAAATCTATATTTTAGGTAAAAAATATATTCAGCTGCTCAAATTTCGTTAAAGTACATATTTTTAAAAGTGATCCAAGAATGCTACCCCTTGAATATGGCCCATTGGACATCCCCTATATAAAATATTTAAAAAAAATAATTCAACGTACAAAAATAAATGAATTCAACATAACTTCAGTAACAAACGTTATTATTGTTGTTTTTACTGTTAAGTATCCCTTGGACGTTTTAACTAATCAACCATTTACTTTTTATGTTAGGGTTTAAAAAAGCTTCAATAATATTTTGCTATTTGGTTGCACTAAAACAAAACACATACAATTATATCTCCTTACCTCAGTCAAATGTAGCCTTAATATTGTTATTATTACTAGTTCTTATTTTGGAAGATAAATGAGTGGATAAACTGAATTTTATTTAATTGACCACTTTTGCTGATTACAAATCACCTGATAATTCAAAACTCATTCACAACTGAATGTATACACAGTAAAGACTTACATTCAAAACTAAATAAGTAGCATTAATGGTATTATAAAATATGCACTTAATCTTTTAGGTATATTTTTCTGGTCAACATTTTTTCTTACATTCATTTAGTTAAACGCAAAGTAACGCTAAATCCAATTTAAAAAACTTTTGCGATCCTCGTTTGTCTTCAATTATGCAAACTTTTTGAAGCCTCTTCAATTTCAACTCATTTTCTAATGTGTTATAGCTAAATGGTATAAATACTCAAGGAGAAAATATCGCCGACAACGGTGGAATAAAGGAAGCCTATTTGGCCTACAACAAATGGGTTAAGAGGAACAAGGTAGAACCTAAACTACCCGGCTTAAAGTACACCCCCAATCAAATGTTTTGGATCTCCGCGGCCAATACCTGGTGCTCGAAATACAGGCCTGAGTCTCTGAAACTTAGGATACTCACCGGATATCATTCCCCTGGAAATTTCAGAGTTGTCGGACCTTTGAGCAACTCCGAATACTTCGCCAAAGATTTCAACTGTCCCGTTGCTGCGAAGATGAATCCAAAGAGTAAATGTCGCGTTTGGTGAAAATGATGTGATCTTATTTGTAATAGGTTTAGTGAAGAGGTGTCTAAAAAAACAAAGCTTTTTATTCTGGCATTTTACAAAGATTTTTTGTTATTAAAACTGGTTGCAACTGGCCGAAGCTGAATAAATACCCATTTGACTGTAATGAATGTAGCAGCAGTATGGCCTTGTCCCTTTAAGGGATTTTTATTTAACAAAAGACACCCACTACTACCATATCCTTCCATATTCTTATATTATTAGTGTTGTTATACAACTGTATAGATTACGTGTTATTTAATTTTTTATTTATAAGGTATACAATTTTTTAAATAAAAATTTTTACCAAGATACTTTTTTAGTTAAATAGAAGTAAGTAGGTACTTATTTTATTTATTTATTTTAGAGTTTAGTAATACTACAGGTTATCCACCAACAGTTTCCACTAATTTGCTAATAAATGATGGAACATATCTTAATCTACCAAATGCATAAAAATATAGAATATAGAACCAGTAGAATAATCAGTTTGAGTTATTTTGCCAGTCAAAACATTATTATAGTGGAAACAATCATCTCACATATTACCGCGAGATTAATTTAAAATATTCTCTTTTATTGAATTACAACATATTTTTGTTGGCCTGGCGTCTGTCATCGTTCTTCATTTNTTTAGTAATACTACAGGTTATCCACCAACAGTTTCCACTAATTTGCTAATAAATGATGGAACATATCTTAATCTACCAAATGCATAAAAATATAGTTGAACAGAAGAGAGAGAACACAGTACAACAAAATAACACACGCGCACGCGCGCGCGCACCCCCCCCCCCCCCACACACACACCCTCTCTCTCTCATACACACACACACCCTCTCTCTCACACACACACACACAGTGAAATTTAAATGAATTAAAAGGCGTACAATTGCAATTCTAAACGTTTCAAATAATTTCTAAACCATTTTTAATAAATCACATTTCCAATTATCTTAAAAACTGTTGAACTACTATCATTATCATTACAAAAAATATCTCAATAGTCCATATATATACATGCATTTATCATATTTTCGCTTGGACTCAAATAACGATTTAACTCTCTATTGAAAACTGCTTCTTGAAAAATTTAATTTTATCTTAATAAATCTAAATCGTTTTGACCCATTAAACTGAATGCGATACGCTGATGCATGTGTATAAATGTCAGGTAAGGAATAATTGCATTTGCAGAAAGTGGAGAGATATACTTGTCTTCCGTTCTACAGACTCAGTTAGAATCTTTGTAATTATGCCTATTGAATTTATAAACAGGAAAATCTAAAGTGAGTGTTACAGAATTTTGATAGAGTTATGTTATTGATTATTTTTTGGTATTTTAAAAACCAGTAGAATAATCAGTTTGAGTTATTTTGCCAGTCAAAACATTATTATAGTGGAAACAATCATCTCACATATTACCGCGAGATTAATTTAAAATATTCTCTTTTATTGAATTACAACATATTTTTGTTGGCCTGGCGTCTGTCATCGTTCTTCATTTGAATTTCAACATTGAACCAAATAACGTGTTGGTATATTATCAGTGGATGAAATCAGCAATAAAATCAACGAAAATGTATGTCAAAATACTATGACATACAACGTAATGGTTTGGGAAGAATTTCTATAATTTTGCGTGGAAACGGGATACAAATTGGAAGATACTACACCCATCACAAAACTGGCCGACATTGAAAAGCTCTATGAATGTAATATGGAAACACGTAATGAAGAAGACTATTTTTCTTAGAAGACTAAGAAGACTATTAGAGATTATTAAAACAACGTGTAATAAAACTGCAAATTAACGCAATATATGTACTATACGATAATTTAACAAAAGATTCCACCACTTTAAAGATATCGCATTTAAAAGGGAAATGCTAAAAACATAAAGCATAAGTTACTACAAAAGAAACCTTAAAATATAAATAAAGTTCTGCAATTCTAAGTAAAAACGGAAATGATAAAATGTGAAGACGGGAACGCATGCGCGGTGAAGGGAGTTCCAAATATTTAGTGCATTATTTTCAAGACGAAACGAACAATACGGATTTGGCCCTTGGAAGAAAGCAGTACAATCAATAAATAAAGACAAAGATGTGCTAACAGTAAAAGGTTCATTCCAAATACCCAAAACCCTGATATTTATCCTATTCTATTGCTGAAGAAATTACCAACTATGCGGACTGCAAGCATTAAAACTGATAGGCTTTTTCTAACTGTGAACATAATTTGGTACAAGAATATGCCGATTGGGGTAAACATAATGGCAAAATGTGTGGAGGAATCTGCAGACACAGATACGATAGGAGTAGACAATAAAAAAAATAAAATTACTAGCCATTTTCATATTGACAAAGCAGGTATCAATGAGCAGCATATTGTAAATATTCTGGATCACAGATAAAAGAAAATGAGAATGCAATAACGTTTAACACGATCGAACAAAACAATGTTGTTCAAATGTGGTTAGGCAAAAATAATTTTATAAAGACAACCCTTGAGTAACCCCTTTGTAGTTAGGGTTTCTCAGGTGAGAAAACGATCCAATAAACAGAGCAAGGACGAAAATAACGTCACAAATAAATAATTTCAAACAAAATAAAAATGGAGTTTATCTGAAATTATTTTTTAAATTTCTAAACAAGTGTTTTAATATTTTGGGCTAATCAGATGTAGCTTTTATTAAAAACAACAATGAGGAACTATAAGTGCCGATTTTTCGAATTATTATATAAATTTATTTACTTAGTTAAACATACATTGTACATACATACAATTTTTCTGGGGTAGATATAGATTTAATAGCTAAAAATATTTATTTAGTAGATAGTTAGAGATAGAAAACCCTCCCGAAAAGTATGTATTTTAAACTATACAGGGTGATTCACAACATCCAAAAAAATTTGGAAATAGATGCGGCATGAAAAATGGAGTCAATATCTTAAAAAAAAATTTGTAAAATCCTTATAGTTTCCGAGAACAAAATTATTGAAGTTGTAGTACATTGAACCGTTACATAGCTGAACAACTGTAGCCATTCGCGATACGCGTGGAAAGCCACGTGACCTCAGCGACTCCGAATACTAAAATCCGATTTTACAATCGTCGTTGCGTTACTGTTTACTTGTTATCTGTGGTGTTTACAATAGTTTTTTAGTAGTTAGTGACAAAAATGGCTTGCGTGTATAGCAACTCGGAGTTGATGGATATCGTTCTAATTTATAGTGAAGCAAGACAACATTTTGTATTATGGTGAAGCATTTGTGTTATGGTGAAGCAAGCAAGCAAGTCAGTTCGTAGAAACTGAGTAAGACGGACCCAAAATGTGTTTACACGTCGGTGAATAAAATTTTGAACAATTGTTGTAACATCAGGTATGTCAAATTATTTTACTATTTAAAACCACAAATTAATTTTATTAATTAATAGTAACAATAACGGCAAAAGCAGCTGAATTTCCTGATATAAAATAGGTGCTATAAATTTCTATTTATTTATTTCGTCCGTTTTTATCACATTTTTTCGCAATACCGATCGCACTGTGTGAGATCAGTTTTACAGTGGACCAGTTTCCAGTGCCGTGCAGAAGTGTATTTTTAAAAATCATTTTCGAACTGCCCTTTTTGATTTTTTCTTTACAAAATTGTGTTTGTAAGAGTCCCCTGAACATGCATTTTTTTTTGGATAAGTTCTGAATCGCCCTGTATATATTAACTATTCTACCTTTCAAATAAAATAACAATTTGTAAAATCTTATTTTTTTATCATTAAGATGTCAATTAAAATTAAACTTACGTTCAACGAATATATAAAACTATTAAAATATAAACGAATATTTATAAAAATAAAACTTTATTTTCTATAATAAATAAATATATTCATATAGGTTTGTTTATTAATTTGTATTTAATTTGCTAAACTAGATCTAAAATTTTGTTCTGCTATAGACATCAAATTTTCCGCCATTGCCTTGCCAGTCTGCATCACCAACCCAGTGAAAACGCCACTGGCATTTTGTAAAAGGGTGTGTGGATGATCGAATTCAGCAACCCTTCCCGAGTCCATTACAAGAACCTTATCTGAATCCATGATAGTGTGAAGCCTATGCGCTATAGTTAGTACTGTACAGTCGGCAAATTTTCTCCGAATGGTAGATTGAATTAATCCATCTGTATGAGGATCTACGTTGGCCGTTGCCTCATCCATGACTAATATTTTATTGTTACGAATCACAGCTCTAGCTAAACATAATAACTGTCGTTGTCCCACACTGAAATTGGATCCTCCTTCTGATATTCTGCTATCTAGTCCTGCTGATAGCTCAGAAATAGCTTTTTTTAATTCTACCTCATCAAGAGCATTCCATAATACCTAAAAAATATGTATTATTGATAATAGTGCGAGGAGAAATTATGAAATGGGAATATAAAAACATATACTAAACCAAGAGGACTAATAAATCAAAATAAACAAAACAATGACAGATATGTTCCATAAACAAATAATTAAAGAATAGATAATTTCTAATAAAGTACATACTTCATCGTTATATTCATCGAAGGGGTCCAAATTCTTTCTCAGAGTTCCAGAAAACAATACTGGCTCTTGGGGTATAATAGACAATTTTGATCTAAGAACATTTAAAGGTACCTCTTTGGTATTTACATTATCTATTCTAATTGTACCATCCGTTTCAGATAATCGGAATAACGCCACAATCAATGACGATTTTCCTGCACCAGTTCTTCCAACAATACCCACTTTTTCTTTGGGTTTAATTTCAAACGTAAGATCTTTAAGTACGTAAGGATCATAGGGGGAATATCTGAGACACAACTTAACAAATTTGATTTCACCTTTTTCCGGCCAAAGTTTAGGTGGATCTATAGATTTTTTATCTGCTTCCGGTGTTATGTTTGTATATTCCTGGATTCTTTCTACTGACGTCATCTGATTTTCGAGTTCACTCCATTGCCTCATTCCCCATTGGAACATTCCCATGAGACCTATCGACTGTGTCAAAGCTAGACCAACATTACCAGCAAATATTTCTGAAATCAAAGGATAACTTTAAGAAATATTCAGGGCCATTACTCCAAATGCGCAACGAAGACATGAAATAAAACCGACGAAACCTACCACTTTCAATAAACAGAATACTGACAATAACTAATGCTGTGTAAATAACGCAGTGTATGTCCAACCAGAACCCAAATGTCCTGTTAGCACACAGAAACATAAAGTATGCTGCACTATACTTGTCTTGATAGTTGTCAAATTCCACTTTCAGTACCTCCTGTGCTCCAAAAGCTCTAATTGTGGTAAGTCCTTGTAGTGATGCAGACAAATGCGTGTAGATTGGACTACGAGCTAAAAATAAAAAGTATATTACCTTTATGTAGGTTTCCATTGCTTTCTAAAAAGTACTCTTCCAGGTTTAACTTACTAACTGGTTAGACTGTTTTATAGCGACGCGACAGCTTCAGTACCTAAGATAGTTGTACAATTCCGTGTTGTTTAAACTTTTAACTTTTCAAAAGACATCGTTCTCTTCTTCAGAAAAAAAATCTAAAATTGAAGAAAGTGGGACATGCTGGCATAGCTCCCAATATGCCAGCATGTATCCATGAGGTTAAAGAAATGTGAGGAATAACAACGGAAGGATTTAGCATTGCGGAGCATAGATCAGATGCAATACACTTAAGTAATATCAAAATTTTAGTAACAGTAAGGTTCTGGCCCTAACACAGAGAAGCAACAAAAGTGCAGAAGAATCAAAATGGTTTCAAACTCGATGAGAGCTTGAACGACCAGGAATTTGGAAACGATTTGTAGGTAAAAATAAAGGGCTGGAACATAACAGGCCAGGGACCCATACAATGAAACGATACTAGTCAGTATACACAACAAATATAAATATGTACTAGTCAAAGGATCTTCAGTTTCAGAATGTCTTCTGGAGAGAACGATATGTCTCTCGAAACGTCAAGAGATTTAAACCGAAAGTAATAACCAGTCCGCAAATTGTTCAACCATTGTCAACCTTGTAAACTAAATTTAGCAAATTAAAATAAAAAATACTTACTCACAGCTTCTACACGTTTGATGTCTCTACTGGTTGCCAAAAATACTATTCTGATAAGATAGAAGATGACAAGAATTATAACCGTTGGCAGAAAGATCCATGGATTTAATGAACCAACAACTATAGATATACCAAGTACTATTATGCCAATCTAAAAAAAAAAAACATAAAAATCTGTTTTCTTGTAAAAATATCGAAATAATTTCATTAACACAGTGGACGCAGAACAGTACGGTATTATCCTACCAACGTCGTTAACACGTGTTTAATTCTTAAATAGGCATTTGCAAATTTGCAGACAATTTCGTGTGCATAAAACAACCAACAAGGGTAAATTTAACAAGGTAATAATTTTCAAAACGTTGCAATTTGACTGAAACACAGATTAGAACTGATACATACCTGTACAGTGTCCACAATAGTAAGCGGTAACATTTCGTCTACAGCGCCAATGTCCTTGGAAAATCTGTTTAAAATCCTTCCTGGTGGGTTAGTATTGAAAAATCTCATAGTGGCATATACTATCTTTTCAAACATCTTATTATGCAGATTCGTTGATGCTGTCATACAATATCTAAAGAAAGATATTGATCTTGTCACTGTTAGTACCACTGTAAGACATACTAGAGAAGTATAAATAATTGTACAGTTTCTTTCAGTCAGAATGTCACTTAAGAAGTACTGAGACGTTAGTTCAGACCCCGCAGTAACATTAATTGTAGGGTTAAGATCAGTACCATTTTCCAGTGCACCGCTTACACTGTGTTCATTTCGCCACTGTTCGATATTGGACCTAACAAAAAAGTTTATGAATTTATAAAGGTATGTGATTAACTGACTGCGAATTTCTTACAAGTCGTTTGAAAAAAGTAATAAATTTAGTTTCGTATGAAGAATTACACGTTATTTTAGGTGATTGGCCAAAAATACTTACCAAACCGAAATAAAATAATCAGTTAAACTAGCAACAGCTTGCGAAACGATAAAGGCGAGACACAAGAGAATTGTTTTGAACCAGCTACCTCCAGCTTTTAAGTAACTTTTATAGACAGACCAAGATATAATTCCAGAGCCTCGCTCCTCTTTTTCTAATGTGGGTGCTTCTTGATCATCATTATCCTCTTTTTGGTTCAAAAGTTTTGATTTCCTTTTAGAGTTATTTTCTTCTTCTTCTTGTTCTGCGCTGTCAGTTAACAGTTTTGTAAACTCAGTTTCGGTTGTCTTAAGTTCTGAATAAGTACCCGAAGCTGTGATTCTACCTTTCTCCAATAAATAAATTTTATTTACATTTCTCAGGTACTGAATTTGATGGGTTACAAGTATCACACATTTATCTTTTAAATACCCACACACGCAGTTGTCAAATAATTGCTTTCCAACATGGGTGTCAACAGCAGACAAAGGATCATCTAGTAAATATATGTCTGCCTCTTTGTAAATAGCTCTAGCTAGATTGATTCTAGCCCTTTGACCCCCACTTAAAGTAACGCCTCTGTCTCCAACTAAAGTTCGATCTCCATGAGGGAAAAGCGTAAAGTCTCTTTGTAAAGCACACACTCTGACCACTTCTTCATACTTTTTCTGATCGAAGTCTTGTCCAAATACAATATTTTGTCTAACACTACCTCCAAACAACCACGGTTCTTGCGAAGCATATGATATAACTCCTTGGACATCTATCAAGCCATCTTGCACTGGTAGCTCCTTTAAAATTGCATGAAGGAGAGTAGTTTTACCTCCTCCAACCGTACCCACCACTGCTATAAGTTCATTAGAACTACCATCGAAATTTATATTTTCCAAAGTGTTTTCAGGTGAGGATTGAATCCATTTGACTGAGGCATTTTTCATATGTATGCCAACAGCTTTATCTTTTTTATTTATCCACAATGTTCCATTTGTGCCATTTTCATATTTCTCCTGATACTGAACGTTATCGATTTTATGTATTTCGTCGTATAACAAAAATTCTCTGATTCTCCTCACAGAAACATTAGTCTCTGCAAACTGCGTAACAGCTTGAGGGAAAAGCATTATTACAACAAACTTTAAAAGTCCATAGAATGAAGTCACAGTATATACAAATGAGGCATTGACTGTGTTTCCTGTTAAAACATAAGTGATGATGCACAAAAATGTGGCAACTGTCTGTAACATTAAATTACAAGACATCGTAAAGGCTCGTATAATGGAAGTTGCTCGAATCTGTTTCATTTCTTTCCTAAAATATATTTTAGTTATTAAATATTAGTCAATAAATATATAACTTACATTCGAGTGATCTGTACAAGTTTGGCAAAAGGCTTTTCCCAGGTATACATTTTAATAACTTGGATTCCTGAGATGATTTCGTTCATTAAACGCACTCTCTCATCAGTCCTCACGGCAGTTTTAAATCTATATTCAGAGGTCTTTTTTCCCATATACACTATAACAAAGGGAAAGTGTTAAAACCAAATCTTGGTTGCCAAATTAAAACTATAGCAACTGTAAATACAACATAGGGGTATCCAAAAGAAGCATTTCATATGAGAACAAAAAATATTTCATTAATTAAAAAGTTTTTACATGTTTTTAAAGGATACACATTACCATTAAATATGAAAGAGGATATCGAATAGATGTCCTTCGCGACTCATTTGGCATGCTCGACTTCCTTTAAGAAAACTCTATATTACTCTTAATTCAATAATTTATTGTATTTGGGCAGAATAAACTTTGGATTTTACGAATACCCACAGGAAAAAGTTGCATGGTGTAAAGTCACATGATCTTGGTGGCCAAGTCATTTCACTGTTACGTGAGATGAGTCGTCCATTAAATTTCTGCCGTAACAAGTGGATAGCTTCACGTGCCGTATGGCAGATGGCACCATCCTGCTGGAACCACATGTCATCCAAATCCACGCCATCCAACTGAACCCCTAAAATGTTCAATAGTACCTCTCGATATCGTTTTCCATTGACAATCATTGCGTTTCCAGTCTCATTTTACAAAAAAAAAATGACCAATCACCCCACCAGCGTAAAATCCACACCACACGGTCACTCTTTGAGTATGCAGTAGACGTTCTGGAATAACCCGAGGATTGTCTCTGTCAAAATTCGACAGTTTTGCTTGTTTACATATCCACTAAGATGGAAATGCGCCTCGTCGCTAAAGATGATTTTCTCAAACAGCAAAACAGCAAAATCACTGTTAACTTGTTGATTCTCAAACATCCACGAATGTCCGGTGCATTAAATTTAGTCTCAATTTCTGGATTAGCTGGATCTTGAAAGGATGCGGATGCAGATCTTTTGTTAAAATTCGCTTCATTGTGCTTTTTACAATGCTTTGACCGACGGCGCGTTGCTCTGAGTTACGGGAATTTCCGCCACTCTCACCGTAGCAATATTTTTGGCTGAACGGCTAGTACAAGGTCGGCCTGTTTTTTTATTATCTGTAACCAAACCTGTTTGTTCAAATTCGACAACTAATTTTTTCACAACTGTTTTATTCGGGATGTGCCTTCTATCGAAAATTCCACGTAATTTGGACACAGTCTCAGCTACAAACTCTCCGTACTTGTAATCAATTTTCATAATCTTCACTCGCTCATCCGTAGTATAGCCCTCCATTTTGTCTAACCGCAACGTGTTTACTAAAATATGTCAACTCTTCTGAATTAAAATTGCACACAATTCAAATCCTGCTTTACCTTTGGGACACCCTTTAATTGTTTTTAAAATATATAGGGATTAAGCTTTACAGAATAATAATTAACTTACTTTCAAAGGGAATGAATAGCAAGAGAAACACAGGTCCCACTAATCCTGTCGGTCCAACATTGATATATATCAGCACCATAACAATGATTGTTTCTATCGGTGCCACCCATAGACCATGGAAATGTATCATTGCAAAATCAAATCTACTGACATCGTTCGACAGTAGGTTTACCATCTGTCCAATTGTCGTTTCGGCTAGGGCAGTATTGCTAAGTTTAAGTGCTTTTCTGTAGATCAGTGAGCAAGCGGCTACTCTTAGCTTCATTCCCAAAAGAAGGACGAAGTACATATAAGTATGAATGCACAAAACGTTCAACAAGCTCGCTGCGATAATAAGACCCGAATACAAATATGCTTCATTCCTAGTAACTGCAGTTTGATTTGGTTCATAATATTTAAGAAGCTGCGTCAGTAACAAAGGTTGGGATAACCTGAAAAAAATATGGTAGCTTAAAATATTCCGGATGTACTTAGATAATATGTTACCTTACAACTAATTCAATGAAACAGTTATATATTCCATATAGAAATATTTCCTTTTTAAATACTTTAAGTATAGCTCTCCAAAGTGATGGTTCCTTCTTGTTACTAATTTCGTAATTCCAGGCACTCTCAAGTTTATCCCCTAGTGGTATGGCTTCGTATGATTTAAGAGCTCCGTACATATCATCTTCGTTGAGTTCCCTTTTGAATCATTTCACAAAATATGGTATTAAGTAGCTAGAAAACATATAATATGAAATACTATAAGCAACAATGTTCGTCAACTTACCAAAAAAATAAACGTGATATAATGTTAGCTCTTTCTATGGGATGCTTCTTTTTTACTTTGTCGGCTTCTTTAAATCGTATTTCGTCCATTGCCTAAAAAGAGCAGAATCAGAAGACGTTTGCAATTTATTGCTGTTTATTGGCATTGATTTTGGATATCACTCTCTTAAAAATTTTATCATAGATGTGCGATTGTGCAAGTTCAAGTCTATACATTTAAAGTGGCAGTTGATGATTTTTTTTCATAATAGTGGATAAAACGATAAATTTGAAAAATTAGATACACAGGGTGATACTAAATAAAGTGGAAAAAATGTATTATGAGATTCTGCTCATAAAAATACTCGACAGTTTTTTTTTTTATTTGATATTTTGCCGTAGCTTTTTTCCCTTTCAGATTTATTATTGGTAACCAACTACAGCTGTAGATGAAAAATAATGAAAATTCTAAAGCCGCAAAAACTTAGATGGTCTTATTGATAAGAAAAATTGTCTGAGCTTAAAACTTATTTAATGCTTTGTGGCAAGAATTTGAAACATTTTTCATTTTCTCAAGAATGGTACAAGATATCGACTGATATGCGGTATACGATTACTTTGTTTTTAGCAAAGTTAGAAAAGAATCGAACTATGAAAATCATGCCAAATTTGGCAACGCTGTCAAAGATATATAAATTTAAATGGATAATTTCGCCTGCTCTTGTATAATCCAAGCATATTAAAATCAGTTAGAAGTTATAACTGGAATTTGTTTTTCAAACTTCTTTCTTTGAAGGCGTATAATTCCACAACGAAGCCCGTTGGAAATTTTTTTTTTTTATGAAGTGCTACAACTATTTTGGCCTCCCCTGTATATGCCTTCATTTTTGACAGGACCTTTCCGGACACCCTGTATAAATTTTAGTACTTATATTGAATAAAACTATAATTTTCTTTTATGTTCAAATTCTGTTTAATTTTAATGCAAATTGCAAAATGTTACAAAACATTGAATATATTTTCTCTGGGAAATCGTACTATCAACTTGGTAGAAAAAATGCTTTTCGTACAATTTTTTAATAGTCTTAATAGTCTTTAATAGGTTTAATTTAAAAAAGAAACACAAACAAAAATGTTCTATAAATTTTTTTGTGAATAAGAAACTGTAAGGCTTTCAAATTTCAATGATTTCTCATTTGCAGGTGTAGTTTGTTACTACATAATAACAGAATGAATACGTGGATTTGAATGAAATCGGAAAGAAGGTTATGGCAAAATGTGTATTTAAATAGAAAATAAATTTCAAGTTAACCAAAGATCACTATTGGACCACTATTGTTATGAATAGAATCAACCCCTAAATATTTTGCACTTTATTTGGAATCATAGGACTTATTTAAAACACATTTTGATTATTTTTTTAATACTTTAAAAATATTTTGTAGTCTTTACGTAAAAAATATTTGTATTTTTTATTACGCTATAATATGAAATTTCATGACTTGATATTTGTGACGTCTACAATATGTGCTAGTACTGTAAGTATTTATTAGCAGACATGTGTATATGATCTTATTAGTTTCTTCGGGAGGCAATCAATGTATTACTTATAAATCTTTAAATATTTCCTTTTATTTGTATAGTTAGTTTTGTTAATATATATTTTATTAGTATTATTTTTTAATTTACTTTTTCAATATCACAAACAGTTAATTTCCCATTTATTATATTGTACATTATACATGTACAGTCCCTACTGACTTTAAAATTAGAGTCCGTTTGTGGTATAAACATACCATTAAGGGACAATTTTGAAATTGAAAACTTATTTCATTAAGCTTATGTGGTTAGTAAATAAAACAAATACACAATAAATAACAAATTTTGCTTGTCTGAATAGGTGAATACGTGTAAACAAGAATAAGTTGAAAACGTTCCTTAAATATGACTCAAAAGTTTCACATGGGAAATAATTAAAAAGAACGTGTAACTGATAAAAACGTCTACTCAAGATTAATTTTTATCAGAAACAAATTGTCTTGAGATTTTCAGAGAAAACTGCAAATCATTCCAACAAAATATATAAACTTACATATACAACTATTTAAAAGCTTTATCATGACAAGTTTATCTCTAAAAGAAATTGCAAATATTTATAATGAATACTTTACAGACCCAACATTTCAGTTATTAAAATTACAATTCATGCTTTATTAACTTTTATCATGTGTAATCTCGACAAGTAATAACATTGCAATTGTCAGATTTTGTGATTAGATAGTTAAGTCAAGTGCTGATTTTCGTCATAAAATTTCACAACTTTTTCAAAACTTTACGTAACAAATTGCGAATTAGTAATTGTATTATTCGATCAATCACATAAGTCACGTGATCGCCTATTGTTACCGCGTATGTGTAGAGAATTGTGTTAGTTGTTCAGTAGGCATGTTTAGATTCATTGTGGCGAAGTAATATAGCACAGTGTTTTAACTTCCTAAATATAGTGTTATAAATAAAAACTGAGTTAAGTAAAGAATATAACTTTGTGCAAATTATATCAATCTCTCGGTATATCTTCATTTAAAGTTACTGAAGTGTGTGAGAAACATCAATAATGTTCTCAAGAAGTGGCCATTGCTCTCGAAATGGTTCAAATATTCCACATCATGATGCACTTGGGTGCGAGTTTTCCTTATACTTAATTATTTTAAATATAAGGATGTACATATTGTTTATTTAAACGTGTTTGGTAGCTCATTTTTTATTTAAATATTGATGGATAAAGATGTCAGTAAAAAAGGAGTGTAAAATTAAATATATATATACTTTGTATAATAAGTAGGGAGACTTTTGACTGATATTACTATTTTTACTAACTTCGTTAATTTAAACCTTCTGTACCAAGTTTTACATTGTACTATTATTTTAAGAAAACTGTCTAATCTAGGTATATAAATAAAAATTAAATGCTGTTCATTATTAAGCGCATCACTTGAGAACGGCTGGACCGATTTGGCAACTTTTTTTTTAAATGTTCGTAATAGGCCGAATAAGGTTTTTATTGAAAGAGAAATTGGAAAAGTTGTCCGGAAAATTCGGGACAAAGTGAGAGTGCTTTTATCTATGGGATTTTTGTATAAACTCAATTCTTTTTTTATTTTTTTCGTTATGGTCTTGGAAATGTTTTCAGGAAAAAAAATCATGACAATTACAAACGAAAGTCATAATTTTTGTATGCACTCTCGGTCGTAACTGACGATAGGAACGACATATTTGGTTGATTCTTTTTTTATTTTGTTCGTTATGCTCCCGAGTTCAATTGAAAAAAATATATATATTCTTTCTAAATATATTACAAAATTGTAATGCCTAGATTTTTTTTTCTTCTTATAAATACTATGTAATTTTCCTATTTCTTTGTAAAATTATGCTTTAGGTGTCGTAAATATGCATAATTATATCAATAATGCACATTTATATTTTGGGTGAATTATACAAGGATGTAAAGTTACATGTTTAAGCTAACTTTACTTGTATTATGCAATTTACCTACTGTGAAAAAAAATCAAATAACTTGCAAATGATATATGAAAATTATAAATGCAAAACCAAAATACTGATTATTTAAACAATAAGTTTTATTGAAATACCTAGTGATCATCCCAAAAGAAAATACATTCTCAATAATTTACAGAAAAAATATTTGACTTTTTAAAATGTATTTCATTACCCATACCATACAATCACCTACTAATCATTTTAGAGCTTCAAGGTTGTTTTTTTAAGTTTGTCGACCGTAATTTGAATGGAATATTTAAGAACCAGTTATTAAATACAGACATTTATTTTCTTTTAGGGAGTTCTCCTTTTTCTCTGTGCTGAAAGACATTTGATAAACATTTACGAACAAATAAGGAAATTGTATTGTTTCTAGTTGCATGCATTTTGGAAAAAATAATTATTATGAAAATTATTTCGTTTTATAGATAATACATATTTCTTTAATACATCCAAAGGACAGTAATTTTATCCACCAATACTTGTTACATGTGGGTAGTAAAATTTCACGGAATTTTGTAATAGATTTATTTGTGTCACAACACAGACATTTTAACATTTTGTGTTTCAGTATGAAAGCATTTATGACTATAATTCTTTAAAACGTAATGTACAAAAAGTTAATATTGCACAGCATATGCAACTTACACAAAATATGTATGTAGGTATTCTAAAATGTCTCGTATTGCACCCGTCAAGCTTTACGAACTTTATATAAGCATATGTCTTGGAATATTTCGTTTTCGAGATACAGAATATTCCAATAAAAAAAAAACACATTTATTTAAATATACTTTAAGCTGTTTGACTTAGATTCATAAATTAATTGGAGTAATGACCGCTAATTATGGGCAATAATTTGCTAAGTTGACAAACAAATATATCAACCAGTTGTGGAGATATTGGGAAATAATGTTACTAAGAACTCTTACAACTTCGACGCCACTAAATATTTTGGAAATTGGATAAAGCATTTAATTACGGTTGAAAGAAAAATTATGTCTCCCATTTTATTTGAAAAGAAAGTCATTTCTGAATAATACATTTTTTAAATTTAATATAAACCTTCAACAAAACTGGTTTTTTACAGTTGTGGCAATTTTTTTGTTGGCTTTAAATACATTTCAATTTAGATTTACTTAAATAATATTACAAAAAAAAAAAATAACTTTCAAGAAAAACTAAATCAAAAGTCAGAATAAGTCTTCGAAACGTTTTTTTAAAGTGCGCGATATAAAATTATGTGTCTTTTTGTATTTTTCCTGGATTTTTTCAGTGTGACACCGACTGACCCTTTTAGCGCATGAGTTCATTTCACTAATTTTTATATTTATTTACACAAATACTCAAAAAATAAAGACAAAAACTTTATAATACTTATATTTAATTAAATGTGAAATATTTTTTTCAACACTACAATCTATGCGAAACAAGATATATTTAAATATTGCAAATATTTTTCAAAATTCATAAAGTTTTTAACTTTATGAATTAATAATTCTTTCCATTTTTGTATATATAAAAATAATTAATTATCGCACAATTACACCGTAATAAAGAATAATCATTAAAAAATGGTACATTTTAATACACTTTTTATAGATACCTAGGTACCTACATATATTTAAAGTACCAATTCTACTGACAGAAATACTTACTCTAAATATTTTGTTTGTCTTCGCTCAATAATTTGTTATTTATAAGTGAAAAAAATTTATTATTCACTTTTGCGTTAACTTGTATTCCAAACAATATTATCAACAACAATCACTGTCACATCATAAAAAATGTACTTAACACAAACACATCACACGGACTACCTCACATCATCTGGCTTCAAAACACTTAAACATTCATTTATAATGCATATCAAGTTTTTATCTAACTACACGCTATCACAAATATTTGTAACTTACATAACAATAGAATCTGTTTAAAATATTCTGAACATTTTTCTTATTATTATATTGCCGTTATTGCGTTTTTTTTAACCTGGTAAAACTTTGCTAGTATAAAATATGAGAGTGATTTGTATTCACAATTGGTTAGTGTATAAATTTAGATTCGTGGTAATTAATTAATAATAGGCAAATGGTGTTCTGCATAAAACAAATATTCTTCTCCACAGCATGATTCTAATATATATAAATTAATGTTTAATATCATCTGGTTCCCGTAAATTTTTGGTAATGTATAAAGGATATATCAAAATTGCCACAAATACTTCATAAATATGATGTAGGGCGTTGAAAAATCTTAAAAAATGTTCTGAATTTGATTCACAAGCAAACTTACAAAAGTGATGATTTGTCAAAACTTCTTCTGGATGAAAATATAATGAAATTATAATGAGCTTTTCATTCATTACAAAATATGTTTACAGTTTTTAACTATTGCTTACTAACAATTCGAAATATTTCTGTTCCTAAAAATTTGTTTTAAAGCACAGCTTAAAATTTTCTATATTTAATCGTATTCTTTTAACATACACAAAGTACTATTTTGATACACATTTTACCTATATAAATACCAAACACCGTCAATAATATTATTTTTTACAACCTGTAAATTTCGATACAGCGTACTTGGAAGTTTTAAAAGTGCTTATCACATTTTTGTTCCAATGTTTCTGATACAAATTTAAGAAACAGTCTAATAAGTTGACTAATTATTAAAAGTAAAAATTTTCTGAATATGTCTACAAAACCTTAGAATTTCGACCCCACTGAATATTTTGAAAACTAGATGAATGCATTTAGATTTCGAGAGTATGTAAGTAAAAAAAAGTTCCCTTGCATTCTATTCGAATGGCGAGACATTTTTAAAGAGTTTACCAGCCAGTTAAACAAATCGGTAATAACTCAAAATTCATATAATGCGCAAAAAATATTCATAGGAAAGTTTTATTCCAAATAAGATTTTAAATATAATGTACTAATCATTTAAAAAAAGGCATTTGCGTAGAAATTTTCTTTGCTTTTTGCAGTTATATAAGATTTGAAAGAGTCCTATACAATTATTTTTTCTGTAAAGTGATAAATCAGGTTTAACAGTGCCTTCATAAATGCCCGTGTCTCACGTGACCAGATTTGTTTTGGCGCTCAGTAAATTTGATTTTCTAAAGTTGGTGTTTCAGAAATTACCAAAGAAAAATTACTAATTACGCACCCTAGATGTAATGTCAATCTAGAGGCATTCCTAATTTTTCGCTTTCTTTATGCCTTTTGTTTGTATAATTTAACAGTGTTTATCAGAATTTCTATCCTTTTCTGCAAATTAACATGTGAAAAAAATGGTGGTTCTTTTGAGAACTCCAATTCGATGTTTTTTTGGTAAATTAAACGAATATTTTAAGGTTATGGTTTATTTGCCAGATTCTCTGATTTCTTGCAGATTTGTGTAGAAATGTCGTTTACACCGGAACAAGACGCATTTATTTCGATGGCACATTTTCGTAGTGGTATACGGAACTTGGTAGAACTTGATAGAACTTTGCAATCATTTATGGAATGATTTGTTGAAGCATTTCCAGATGCTAATATCGCTACATATGATGTGTTTAAAAAACACAAAATAATCCTTATTAAAAGATATGAGGAAAAATATTATGTTGTAAAGGCAAGTCGACCGGCAGACCTACTGTTTTGACAGAAAATGTTGTTGAAGATATTCGACAACAATTATTGCTGTGAAGTCCTAAGAAACCTGTTCCGCAGTTATCTACTCAAATTTAATATAATTTGAATTACCTAAAGTAGAAGTTAATGTATAATTAATAATTAAATAATTTTGAAAAATGTTTAATATTACCTACAATTTCTTTAGATTGTATTTTTTGTATCGACATATAAAATCTTACAGCATTACGCTGGTTAATTTGTGTATTTACAAGAAATAATTGTACATATTATAATGATAACATAGGCATTAAAGAAACAGGTGCATATGCATATGCTATAAGGTTTCTGTTGTGCAAGAGTTATATCCTCCTGATCACAACCAACGAGTACTATATTGTTGATAATAATCCTTATAATCCGATGAGGCATGGGTACATTTACCTGGTTATGTAAACAGTCAGAATCATAGAACCCAGAGCCCAAGTTCCAGGAAATCCGCACAATTTTGTTTAAAAATAAACGTTACATCCTCAGAAGATAGGTATCCGTTTGAGGAAGACATAAAAGTACTAAATGTAGAACGATACCATAACAATGTACAACAAGCATTAATTATGGGAATTAATGGATGCCGATGAACTGCAGCGTGGGTATTTTCAACATCAAGATGGAGCTACAGCACATACTGCAACTGAAACTATCTTCAGGAATGTTACGGTGATAGATTGATTACTAGGGGCTCTTGGCCTGCTCGAAGCCCTGATCTCACACTTTAGACTTTTATCTGTTTGGCCTTATCAAAAATAAGATATTTAAACATCCTCTCCATATACTTGAAGAGCTGGAAGCAGCAATTGAGCATGAAATAATATAACACCAACATTCAACTTGAACGCATTTTTGAGTGAATGAAACGCAAATTAATATACAGGGTGTTTGTAAATAAGTGCGAAATATTTTAGAAGGTAGTTTCCGAAGTAAGTAGGTTAAAATATGCTTCCGAGATAAGTACAGAGGGTTTAAATTGTAATTTTTTATTTATTTTTATTAATTATTTCAAAGAGTTTTAAATATATTGACTCGAAATTTGATAGTTCTATTTATTTTAGAAATATTTACAGCAACCTACCAGATAATGTATCAACAGAAATTAAAAGTACACAACTTGCAATAAAATGTGTTTTATTTTTTTCCTCAAAAACGGTGCAGCCTACGAAAAAAATTGAAGAGACCAATTTCATTCAAAATTGATAGCGAATTGCTAAAAAATATCAAAACCGGAAAAAGTAAGTAAAAGCCAATATTGAATAGTCTTTTAAAAACCGAATTCGTTTGTGTATGGACGACACTTAGACCAATTGATGTAAATAGCGGTATAAGTATTCCTCTCCTTGTTGTGTTCCAAGTTTCAGTTTGTTTCGTTTTGCGTTTTGTTTTAGTTGTTGTTAGTGGTTTACTTTTGTTACATGCCAGTATTGAATATTCTATTGAAAAAAGAAATACATGCAAATTAAGTTCAATGTTTATAAAGAATTGTAATATTATGGACTCATTTTCTGTCTTTAGGGAATTTTGTGTTAATCATTGACTCAACTGTAAACTTGGTTGCCTAATAGTTGAGGTCACGTGAGATTCGGACATTTATGAAGGCACTGTACCTTCGAAGATATTTGAGCAAATGTAATATTTTTTTTTAATTTCAACACTGTACGTAATCCTCGAGAGACAATGATTTTAGACTTTTGATTCATTAAATATGAGAGTGATGGTTATCCAAATATAATTTTTCTGCTCAGGAATTCGTCCATGAAATTTTAAACATATAAAAAATCTTCAAAAGTTTAAACTGCACTCGTAGACATATTCTAAACGTACTGCTACAGATTATTTTGAACTTGTCATATTAGTTCCTCTTTTACACAGTTACAAAAGAAAAAACAGATTATATATTTATCACTATTTATTAACAAACAAATAATTTATAAATAAGTTGACAGGCACAAAATCACATGAAATGTTTTAAGTAGTATTAGGTATATGTATTAAAATTTTTGCTACTAATACTAAATGTTCTAAAGTGGATTATAAATAATGCCACGTATAAAATATAAATAAAATTTTCTAGTTATTACTAGATTTAAAAGTCTCTTCTGCTATAGAAAATAAGTTTTCGGCCATAGCTTTTCCCGTCTGCTTCACCAGTCCAGTAAAAACTCCATTGGAATTCTGAGAAAGTATGTAGGGGTGATCGAACTCAGCAACTCTTCCTGCGTCCATCACAAGCACCTTATCCGAATCCATTATAGTGTGCAGTCTGTGAGCAATAGTTAATACTGTACAGTCAGCAAATTTCCTCCTAATGGTATTTTGGATAAGTCCATCTGTTTGTGGATCTACGTTGGCCGTGGCCTCATCCATGACTAATATTTTATTGTTGCGTATCACAGCTCTAGCCAAACACAATAACTGCCGCTGTCCAACACTGAAATTGGACCCACCCTCTGACACTTTGCTATCTAAGCCTGCCGGTAGGTCAGACACGGCAGATTTCAATTCGACTTCATCCAAAGCATTCCACAATATCTAAAAAAGTCATATTAATTACATATAGCTGCTATACCTAGTTCTAGTATTAATTTAATTTCTTAACACTGCGAGATATTGCACAAAGGAGCAACAGAGTTGGTAATACGTAAGAGTTATATTTATGTAGTTATTAATTAACTTAAACACAGACGTTATCTACAATAATACAAATTTACTTTAGCTTATCACAACATTTGTATTAGTTCTAAAAAAATAATATTGTATATCTCAGATGTCTGAATAAGCTTTTCTTACAAATAAGAAGTTTGGATTCTGAACAAAATGAATTCGTACCTCATCATTATATTCATCAAAGGGATCCAGATTCTTCCTAAGGGTACCAGAGAACAGTACTGGTTCTTGAGGTATAATAGATATTTTTGATCTGAGAACATGCAGAGGTACTCCTTTTGTATCCAGGTTATCTATTAAAATTTTTCCTTCGATTTCAGTCAAACGGAAGAGAGCAGCTATTAGAGACGACTTTCCGGCTCCGGTTCTTCCGACAATTCCCACCTTTTCCTTAGGTTTAATTTCAAATGTGAGATCTTTAAGTACATCGGGCTCATCCGGGGAATATTTGAGACACAACTTGATAAACTTGATTCCGCCAGCCTCTGGCCAAAATTTTGGTGGATCTTTAGCTACTGTATCAATTTCCGGATTTATATTTGTATACTCCTGAATCCTTTCTACTGAGGTCATCTGATTTTCCAATTCGCTCCACTGCCTCATTCCCCACTGGAACATCCCGGTAAGTCCAATTGACTGCGTCAGCGCCAACCCGACATTGCCACCAAATATTTCTAAAATCAATACAAAATTAGTTAGAACTCTTTTATTCGCATTTAGTATTCTGATAATATTTTTGAAGGTCCTCGCAGAGTCGTAGGTAACGATAAAATTTCACTCTTTTTTAATTTAAAAAATGTTTCATCTATCCCATTAACAGAGAATGGAATGTAAATTAAAATGGTGGAATAGAGAAGAGATATTTACTTACCGCTTTCAATAAATAGAATGCTGACGATAACTAAACATAGATAAATTATACAGTGAAAGTCCAACCAGAATCCAAACGTTCTATTAGCTGACAAAAACATAAAGAATGCGGCACTGTATTTATCTTGGTAGTTGTCAAATTCTACTTTCAATATCTCTTGAGCTCCAAAAGCTCTGATGGTAGTAAGACCCTGTAGTGACGCCGATAGATGGGTATACATTGGGCTTCTTGCTAAAAACAGTGTGATAAATAAATAGTGTGTCAGTTAAAGAATCATTACAATAACGAAAGGATTTAAATATATGTATCAGTATAAATTATTATTTTGTAAACAAATGGTATTGCACCATATAACGTCACTTAATAAATAAATAGTTTTATTTGCTCAACAAATAAATGTGTATTTTTGCGTGACTGATAGCATTAATGTGTTTTTTTGATAAAATTGTTCTTTGATTAAAGCGAATATCAGGAATACTTACTGACAGCTTCTACTCGTTTGACATCTCTACTTGTCGCCAAGAACACTAATCTTATGCAGTAGAATATAGTTAGAATGATAATAGTTGGCAAGAAAATCCATGGATTCAGTGACCCAATGACAATGGAAATGGCTAAAACTGTTAAACCAATCTGAAAACAGTCAAATTAACGAGTAATGATATTTATTTCTTCTTCTAAATTTATTAAATTGTTACAGTAAGTCTGTCTCATGATGAAAAGAAACATTTTTTTATTTTTATGGGGTTTAAACTAACTCCAGTGACAGCAATAACTTTACGCACCTGTACAGTATCCACAATGGTAATTGGTAATGTTTCATCAACGGCACCGATATCTTTCGAAAATCTGTTCAAAATCCTGCCCGGTGGATTGGTATTGAAGAACCTCATAGTAGCGTAAACTATCTTTTCGAACATCTTATTATGCAGATTAGTTGAGGCTGTCATACAGAATCTAAAGAATGCTATCGATCTTGATACTGTTATCAACATCGTACTACACACTAAACAGCTATAAATAATAATGGCGTTTCTATCAGTAAGAATGTCACTTAGGAAATATTGAGAACTTTCTCCAGATTCTGTAGTAGGATTATTTGTTGAGTTGAGGGTGATATTTGTAAATATTTGATTTACGTTTAAAATATGTTCAGATCGCCATTGCTCTGTATTGGACCTAACAAATAAAGCAACAAATTGTAAAACTGTAAGCAAATTGTTGATATATATTTTAAAAAATAGAGCCATGATAACACACTTACCAAATTGTAACAAAATAGTCAGTTGAACTAGCAACTATTTGAGAGATGACAAAAGCACTACATAGTGTGATGGTTTTAAACCAACTACCACCAGCTCGTAGATAACTTTTATAAACAGACCAAGATATAATTCCTGAACCACGTTCTTCCTTCTCTTGTGTCGGTGCTTCTGCATTGTCTTCTTCTTTCTCTTTTTTGTCAAGGAGCTTTGATCTCCTTTCCGATTTTTCATCTTCCTCTTCTTTGCTATCAGCTAAAAGCTTTGTAAACTCACTCTCGGAAGCCTGAAGTTCGGAATAAGAACCCGAAGCTGCGATTTTTCCATTTTCCAGCAAGTAAATTTTGTTCACATTTCTCAGATACTGAAGTTGATGGGTTACAAGTATCACACATTTATCTTTTAAATACCCACACACGCAGTTATCAAATAACTGCTTTCCAACATGGGTATCCACAGCAGACAAAGGATCATCTAGTAAATATATGTCTGCATCTTTGTAAATAGCTCTGGCTAAATTGATCCTAGCCCTTTGACCACCGCTTAGAGTTACACCTCTGTCTCCAACAAGAGTTCGATCCCCATAAGGAAAAAGTCTTAAATCTCTTTCTAACGAGCATACCCTAATTACTTCTTCATATTTCTTCTGGTCGAATGGTTGTCCAAAAACAATATTTTGTCTGACGCTACCTCCAAATAACCATGGTTCTTGTGAGGCATACGATACAGTTCCTTGAATATCTATTGATCCCTCTTGTGCAGGCAGTTCCTTCAATATTGCATGAAGAAGAGTAGTTTTTCCAGCTCCAACTGTACCAACAATTGCCACCAGTTCTTTAGAATTAACTTCGAAAGTTATATTATTCAAAGTGTTTTCAGGCAAGGAATGTATCCATTTCAATGAAGCTTTGTTCAGATGTATACCAACGGAGTGTTTGTAACCAATTGGCAATGTACCATTCATACCATATTTCTGTTCATCCTTTTGTAAATCGATACAATCTGTTTCAGTTGTTTCCTCATATAACAAAAACTTTTTAAGTCTATTTACTGATACATTAGTTTCTGCGAATTGTGTTATGGCTTGTGGGAAAAACATTGTTACAGCCATTCTTAAAATCCCATAGAACGAAGTCACAGTGTAAGCGTATGATGCACTGAGGGTGTTTCCTGTTACTACATAAGTTACAATGCACAAGAAGATGGCCACTCTATTCAATACCAAATTACAGGACATCATTATAGATCGAATTATCGAAGTTGCCCGAATCTGGCTGATTTCCCTCCTACAACAAATTTGATATAGATATGATATGATACAATACTTAAAATACTTACACTCTTGTTATTTGTACCAATTTTGAGAATGGTTTTTCCCATGTGTACATTTTAATAACTTGTATTCCTGAGATGATCTCGTTCATTAAACGCACTCTCTCATCAGTCCTTAGAGCTGTTCTTAATCGAAACTTTGACGTTAACTTTGCCATATACACTAAAAAAAAACGAAAAAGTGATGCAACAAATTTTGAAATGGAATTCGATAATGTAAAAAAGTATAGAGGGAGGTGCTATTTCAATACCTACTTTGGAAGGGAATAAAGAGCAGCAAAAATACAGCTCCAATCAGTCCCGTAGATCCGACGTAGAAATAAAGAAGGCACATAACAACTATCGTTTCAACTGGCGCTATCCACAAGTTATGGATATGTTGCATTGCGAAATCGAATCTACCAACATCGTTTGAGATCAGGTTTACCATTTGTCCGATTGTTGTTTCGGCAAGTGATGATTTGCTGAGTTTCAATGCTTTTCGATAAATTAAGGAACATGCAGCTACTCTCAGTTTCATTCCTAAGTGCATTACATGAAGCTGATAGGTATGAATACACATAACACTCAGGAAATTTGAGACTACAAGAAGTACGGAGAACAAATAAGCATCGTTTCTGGTCATTGTAGTCTGATTGGGTTCGTAATACTTGAGGAGTTCTGACAGAATCAGAGGTTGAGATAACCTAAAAATAATATATACATATAGGATGAATTCATGGTAAAGAATCACTTTTTTGTTTTGCTAATTTTAATATAAAATTTATGCGATTTGTAATATTTGCTTGAGATGTGATAAACTTAATTATACAATTCGTGTATAGTTTCAGAGTTTATCCTGTTTATTAATAATGTCTCAATTATTTTTAAGTTCCTTTCGAAGAAATTAGTAGAAGTGATACATGTAAGCTGTTTACTGAAAAATTTTATCTTTTCGTGGATAATCAGGTGTTTAAAACAATGTAAGTTAGGTAAACAAACGATACTTTTGTATTTCAAACAACGTATAAACAGATAAAGAAAAACTGCAAGGTAATGTAAAAATATGAAAATACAATAGGGTTATAGTCTAATACTGACAGTATTTACTCTTTAGGAAATAATGTTACTAAATACATTATTTTGGTACTACCTTACAACAAATTCAATGAAGAAATTGAAAACACCATATAGCAATAATTGCTTCCTGAATACTTTAAGTACAGCCCTCCATAACGAAGGGTTCTTTTTATTTGCAATTTCATATTGCCAAGCCGCCTCCAATTTATCTCCTAATCTCCTAGATTCATGGGTTTTGAGAGGCCCATACATATCATCTTCGTTAAGTTCCCTCTTAAATCCCTTTGCGAAATATGGTAATAACCAACTGAAAAATAATTTTCAAGTTGTAAGAAATAATTAATTAAATTAACCGATATTGGTTTAGTTACCAGAAAAATGCAAGGGAGAACACATTGGCCCTTTCGATAGGGTGTTTCTTCTTCAGTTTGCTAGCATCCTGTTCTCTTAATTCATCCATTGCTTAGGTTGGAAAGTTTCGTACACCAACTAAAACAAATAATATATTACAATAATTTGTTAATGTTTACGTTTTTACAATTTCTATAGAAATTGTGACAAACAGTTCATTATGCTGATATGATAAGACACACTTCTTTTACAAATGTTTTACGTATACAGAAACAACTAACAATGCAGTTCATATTGTTATCAAGTTAAGGAACGTGCGTAACGAATTATTAAAATTTTAAAAACTTTTAAAAAAATTCTTTCTGCATTTCAATTATATCTTTTGTTAGACAATGTTAAGTTAATTTTTAAATAGTATTATTTCTTTAAGGAGGTTCGATACCGAAAAAAATGGTAAGAAAGTTTTCAAAATCATTGAAATATATTAATAAATATGCCAACTACCGCATGTAAAAATATCAGATCGATTGCTAATACAGTTTTTTTGAAAAATGATATTAAAAATTATGCTATTTTACACAGGATCTTATGCCAGTTGGGAAAAAACTTTAATCAAACGTGAATATTGCTCTTAAAAATGGTTAGGATCGGGAAAATAAAATTGTAACTAAAGAATTAAATATTACTACACATTTTAAAACAATAAAAATATGCATTTACAATGTAATTATTGAGATAATGGAATGAATATATAACGTTTTGACGAATTTGAACAAACATCTGATCCAATGGAAGGAAATATGGCAACACTGTACGCTGTATTTAACGTTTTGACTGACATGCTATATTTGAATAGCTCGATTATAGACTATAAATTATTCCAGCGAAAACATATGTAGTAATAATTACTATTAAATACATTTTTCGTGATGTAATGCAATATAATAGCAATTTGAAACAAAAATTGAAAGGATCTCTTTGCAAAACGAACAGCATAGATGTTCTGTCATAATCTTCAATTTGACAAGGCGGCGTCTCACTATCATACACTGAGCTTCTTGATAGTTATCATATGGATTCTCGGTTTGCACATTTTACTTTTTTCTCATTAATCCACATAGCATTTTATATTGCTTTTCAGTCATTACTTTTCCTTTGTATCTTGGATATTCATTCATGTTTACAGAATACGCGCAAAGCACAATTGACGGTAATGACAGTTGACCCAACTTTTACCACCACGCCATGGCAATGTTGCCAGTTTTCATCCATAATTTTACAAGCTCTTTAATGAATAAATAGACACTTTTATTTAAATAAAAAGTTAATTGCCGTACATTAAGCACGAAAAATATATGCAAGCTAATGTGTTGTATAAATTTCATTCGTATACAGGGTGGTCCGAATTTTATGTAGGAAACTTCAAGGGCAGATAGATCTCTTTAAAATAATAGCTGTTTGCCTTATAAACATAGATCTGGAACGGCCTCGTTTTAGAGATACAGGGTGTTGAAGTTGTTAAAAAAATTTAATTTTTTGTTTATATCTCCGGAATCTATTAACCGATCTGAATAAAATTTAATACAGATAATGTATGACAGTAGGCCTTGCATTACCTAAAATATTAGCTCTAAAGGTTCAACCAGTGGTGTACAAATGAACAGGATCACCCCTTTTTTATAAAAAAAAAAAACCAACGCCACTGTATTTTTTACAAGTTATTGTAACGGATTTATATTCTAATGCACAAAATACGTAAAATAGGTAACTTGAATTTTTTCCGTAAATTTCACCGTTCTCAAGTTATTCATACCAATACAATCCCCTTGTGGCAGATACTTCTAACCATAATATTACAATAGTATATATGTTTATCGTTAAAAGTAAGTGCAACTTGTAAGCACTTCAACAAAATTCTTTACACTTGCCGCTTTCATCTTTTTGGATTAAAAAACATCTCGGCAACTCGAGATGAGTAAATCGAAAATTTGTAAAGTTCTACATAAAAATGGTAGAAATCCGTACCATTTACAACCTGTGCAAAATTTACTTCCGGAAGATGCAGAGAGACACCTAAATTTTTGTCAGTGGTTGTTAGAGTCACAACATAATCCAGAATTCTTACTAAAAATACTTTGGATCGATGAAGCTACGTTCAATCCTCAGGAAATTCGAACAAGATCTTTTCAAGAGGAATTTTCTGTGAAAGTGTGGCTCGGAATAATTCGCAATAAAGTTTGTGGACCTTTCTTCTTGCTACCATCCAAATTCCCAATAATTTCTAAACTCTCTAGAAAACCATCTATTTGAATTATTACTTTCAAGCATAAACATAAATATTCTTTTAATATTATGGTTTGAAATGTCTGCCACAAGGGGACTCTATTGGTATGAATAACTTGAGAACGGCGAATCTTAGGGAAAAAATTCAAGTTACCTTTTTTCTATTTAGTGCATTAGAATATAAATCCGTTACAATATGTTGTAAAAAATACAGTGGCGTAGGTTTTTTTATAAAAAGAGGGCGACCCCTGTCCAGTTGTACACCACTGGTTGAACCTCTAAAACTCGAATTTAAGGGAATGCAAGGCCTACTGTCATACATTATCTGTACCAAATTTTATTGAGATCGGTTAATAAATTCCGGAGATATAAACAAAAAATCAATTTTTTTTAACAAATTTAACGCTTAACACCCTGTATCTCTAAAACGAAGCCGTTCCAGACCTATGTTTATAAAGCAAACACCTATTATTTTAAAGAGATCTATCTACCCTCGAACTTTCCTGTATAAAATTCGGACCACCCTGTATATGATATTTAGTTCACTCAAATTAGTTTATGTAAGGTTGGTACCACAACGAAACTACCGTGTATAAGCATAGGCTTCCCTCCCGCACCGCCTGCCCCGCAAGTGATGTATCGAACCTCCTTAAAGTATGCTTTGATCAAATAAAGAATTGATGTTTCTTTTTTATTTGACACTTGCTCTGCATAACATACAACTTGGAACAAATTTAAAATATTAAATTTAAAACATATCGCATTCCACTTTTTCGCGTTTTTAAAGTTAGATATTTTAAATATTGCAATTTTATAACATATCATTCCTTGTGCAATTTATTCATAAACATTGTGAAACGAAAATAGGATTTTCGAGAAATCTTGGGAAAGTTTAAGAAAAAAATATGTTTTCTTTTCTACAATAATGATGTTAGGCAAAATATCTTGCACATATTATTTGTTCAGTACCTTTATCATTTTTAATGCAAATGTATGTGGGAATTTTATGGAAACTAATCAGAAAACAAACAGAGTAGGTAACAGTTTTAGCATATTAGCTTAAATGACAAACCAAATTTTGCCTTAGCACAAAGTATACCTATTTACTTTATTTAAATGTATTTTAATTTGGTTTAACTCAACTATGTAGTAGTTCAAACAGAGGTACGTTTGTTTATTTTTTTAATGTGTACCTAGGGATAGATCGTGGCAAGCAAATTTCGTAAATTCGTCATTTACTAATGAAAATAACTTGTCCTCATTTCACACAATGCAGTTATTCTATCGATTTCGAAGAAATCATCTGTTGATACTTACCCGAAAATTACTCAGCGTGATTATTATGAAATCAGTTAGTTATCAGATACTTCTAACAATTCATTTTTTATTGCCGAAATGAACAAAAATGTAATCAGTTTTCATTTAAAATAAAATCGTACCTACCCACTTACACCGTTATTGAATAGGTATATGTTTTTACAGTTCTTACATTGCTTTTCAATTGATTCCAAAAAACCAAGTATATAAACCGTATATTTTTATGGCCAAAATTGTAAAAATCTGAAAGAATTCGCTTATATATATGCTAAAGAAACCAAAGAACTGAAAGCTACTACCACTATTTCTATATTATTACTAATAAGCCGGTCCTGATAGTGTCATTTCCTTATTTGCAAAAGTGATTGACATGTAGACGTTACAGTGACGAATCAAGCGTTATCAGTACGATAAAATACGTAAAGTTTCACGCATTACATGCGGTCTATGACAGCTAATAAAACTCATGGCTAACCAGCAGCTGGTTATTTAATATAACCTTGAAAATCTTCGTATCCAACAATAACATTAATAACTGCACATGGTTAAATGGTATTAAAATAAAAGTTACAGCATTTTTCGGAGAAAAAAGTATGTTCCTTAAAAAGCACAGGGGGCGTCGAAAAACAACTTAACATTTTTTCGAAAATGTTCAGTTGTTACAAAAAAAAATATTAAGGAATTATCTATATCCTCCGACAAACATTATTATTGGTTTACATACTATTCAAATGCCCCACCATTTTCTTTAATGCAAGTTTGTGAAAAAAATTCAGCAGGAAAAATTAGAAGACCTTGCGGGTCATAAAATGAGATCTTCCCTGTCAATTCAATGCTGCGACATGGGCGAAGTGAGGAAATACCTCATCTTGTTGGATTCATATTATTAACGTGGTTCTAATTATTGAATGTCAGACAATAACAGAAGCTTTTAAAAAATGTGGTCCAATTAAATAGCCAATAAGTATACCTTACCACACATTTAAACTCGGCAAATGTTGACAATCTATTCCATTTGTGTTGGTTTACCACTTCAGTATGAAATATCACGCTATAACTAAACGATAAAGAGAAAATGAGAACGTAATTAAAATACTGCTGTTATTCAGCCTAATATGGCATGGATAGTAATGAGCAGTTTTTAGAAGTCTATGTGCCGTACATTTTAGATCCAAATATTCTATTTAGGAAGTCTAATCTGGAGATTTTGTATCACCATGGTAAAGAAACCAAAAGGCGGGGATCTTATTCATTAACAAAATACTATATTGCATGTTAATGAGAGAAAAGAGTTACTTGTTTTAAAGCTTTTTTCTCAAAAAAAAAAATACTTCGATACACATAAAATTCACCAGAGTAGTTATAACGTGAATCGTTTTAGTTCCAATTCATTCGTTATTTAAAAAAATGGTTGCCCTTTTAAACAAAAAACAGAATTGAAGTTTTAATAATGATTGGATGCGGAGATATAAATCCGTAGTATGAGACTTATTTCACCATAAGCACATATGTGCCATAAGTATCCAGACGAGAGAATCGGACGAGCTGCAATAAGTAAAGTATCCAAAAAGTTTGAAGAAACCGGATGTATAAAAGATTTACCTCGATCAGGAAGGCGAAGAACGGTAAACGAAAATGACCGTCAAAATGTGATGTTCGCCGTTACTGAAAATCCTCCCCAATAGATCTATTTCAACAAACTTCAGCTTGTCGAAGTCCTCAGTTCACAGAACTCTGAAGTCTCAAAAGTGGCATCCTTACAAAGTTAACGTCTTACAAGAACTATGATGACACAGACAGAAGATTGGATTTATTTGAAAGACAACCCAACTTAAAAAATCACATAATTTTTACTGACAAAACAACTGTTTGCTTAAACGGAACCGCGAACAGGCAAAATACTAGAATTTGGAGCCCCGAAAAGCCGCATTGGATGCAAGAAAAAACATACACAACGGCCAGAAAAAGTGAATGTTTGAGCTGGAATAGTAGGAAATCGGATACTGGGACCTTATTTTTTTGAGGGCAATTTGACAGGCGACATTTATTTGCGTTTTCAGGTGATTCCAGCACTGGCATTAACTTTTCTTAAACCTAATGAGCACAATATACCTGCTCATGACGTCTGGTTCCAACAAGATGGTGCCCCTCCACATTTTCTCTCGATATAAGCAATTACCTTAAGGGCGCCATATTCTTTAAATAGTGTTTTCCACAAAGACAAATAATTTCAAACATTTAATAATTGAATAATCTTAAGCTTATCAAATAATAGGAATGTTATGTCATGCCATCTGGGTATTTTCAAAGACGCCGCAGTAAAACGAATAAACAGGTGCAAAAAACGATCAAACCATCAAGGTTTTAGGTACTGGAATCTACGAAAATACTAACTTTTTTATATACTACTCCACATGTAAATATTCTTGTAACATTTACTTGCTTAGTCCTACATATACAATTGTTTACTTTTATTTATAAGTACGTGAAATTAATTCTTAAAATGTGGGGTTAGGATAGGAATAAACAGGACATCAAGGATTTTATTTTTGTGCTTACTTTTGTTCTACACGTTTTACTTTTCAAGATTTCAGTACCTAAAAACGCCAGAAATTTGACTATTTCTCGGCCAGGAATATGGCCACCTTTTTATTCACTGTTACTATTTAAATTTACTCAAATAAAATAATGACTAAAAACAAAGCGTTTGTAAAACATGCGTTTGCTGTTATCCTAACCCCACATTTTAAGAATTATTTTCACGTACTTATAAATAAAAGTAAACAATTTTATATGTAGGACTAAGCAAATAAACGTTATAAGAATATTTACATGTGGAGTTATATATAAAAAAGTTAGTATTTTCGTAGATTTCAGTACCTAAAACCTTGATGGTTTGATTGTTTTTTGCACCTGTTTATTCGTTTTACTGCGGCGTCTTTGAAAATACCCATATGGCATGACATAACATTCCTATTAGTTGATAAGCTTTAGATTATTCAGTTATTAAATGTTTGAAATTATTTGTCTTTGTGGAAAACACTATTTAAAGAATATGGCGCCCTTAATGAAGTTTTCCCAAATCGATGGATATTTTATTTTTTATTTATTTATTTATTTATTTAGTTGGAAACAACTGCCAAGACAGGACGGAGACCAATTATAAGGCAGGTATAATACATATTAAAAAAACAGATAACATTTGCATGAACATAATTAAAACACAAATAGAAAATACACACTATATATAAATACATAAAAAATACATCTTTTAATATTGGGAGTATTACAACAAAAAATATCAAGATAATCCTGATAACGATGATAATTTGTGCACATAACATTTATTGGAGAAAATTTAAAAATATTTGTTCTTGGTGTCTTCAAATAAAATAAATAAATGTAGCGAGTTCTACATCTCAAAATATTAAAATTCAAATTCTCTAGTAATTCCCCACAATCAATCATCCCATTTACAATCTTAAACAAAAACAAAACAGAAAAATAGAGCCTTCTTTGAGCTAAGTCATTAAGTTGAAACCTGGTTAATAGTTCGGAATGAGGGATTCCGCGAGATGGATAGGTATTATCAGATTTGAAACTTAGGTATTTAAGAAATTGCCTCTGAATCTTTTCTAGACTGTTTTTATAAACTTCATAGCCTGGATTCCATACCACATTAGCATATTCAAGTTTAGAACGAACCAGTGAATAATAAAGCAGTTTAATAGTGTTCACCGAAAACTGTTTAGGGTTGCGAATGATAAATCCAAGAGATTTATAGGCACTTTTGGTAATGACATTAATATGATTAGCAAAAGTTACTCTGGAATCGAACAAAACACCTAAATCTTTAAATTGGTCAACATACAGTATCAATGTTATATGCATATCTACTTAATAGAATTAAAATTGGTCTTTCTAGAAAATGACATACAAAAACATTATTTGATATTAAGTGGCAGGGAGTTAGTGTCACACCAAGAGTTAACCGTTGGTAGATCAGATTGAAGTTTCAAACAGTCCTCGAAGTTTTCGATACTCCTGAACAATTTTAGGTCATCTGCATACAATAATGTATTACTGTCAATATTCATATTTATGTCGTTTATGAATAAATTAAACAAAAGTAGTCCTAAAACCGAACCTTGAGGGACACCTGACGTTGCGTGTATATTAACAGACTTGAAACCACGGTACTGAACATGTAATATTCTATGAGATAAATAGGACTGCAGAAAATTAGTAAAATTTAGTGTTAAGCCATAAGAAAATAATTTTTCCAGTAAAAAACCATGGACAAGTCTGTCAAACGCTTTAGACAGATCAGTATAAATAACGTCAATCTGACCTCCCGTGTCTAAGACTTCTGATACATGCTGATTAAAACATACTAAATTTGATACTGTGGACCTACCTGTCGTGATGCCATGTTGATTTGCAGAAATCAGAGATTTAAAATTAAAAGCCATGTATTCATTTAAAACAATTTCAAATAATTTGCTAAAATTGGATAAGATTGCTACCGGCCTCTAATTCTCAATTAGAGTTTTGTCATCTTTTTTAAAAATAGGACAGATCTTTGACTGTTTCCATAGTATAAGAAATACTAAAGAACCTAGTGATAAGTTGAAAATTAACGTGAAAGGCTTGTATAAAACGTTAGCACAATCTTTTGGCAAAAACGCCGGAATTCCATCCGGCCCTGATGTTATTTTAGGTTTGAATTTTTTTAAAGCACTTAAAATCACATCGTCCGAAAAGACGGGGCAACTTAAATAATTTGAATCAAGTTGTTGATTCACATTATTGCAAGATATGCAAGAGAGCCGCTTGAATGGCCACCACACTCTCCCGACTTAACCACACTAAATATTTTTTTGCGGGTTTAAAAAGCAAAGTTTATGTGAACAGACACTATCAAAGGATTGAAAAATCTTACCAGAGAAGAAGATCGAAACAAAACACCAATGTTATTCAAAATGTAATTAATAACTTTCAACGTCGAATTGGGCATTGTGCAATGGTTAATGGGGGCCACTTTGAACATTTGCTGTAATAAAATAAAAAGTAGTACTAAATTATTGTTTTCATTTAATTCCTCCATTTTATGACAAAAAAAATATGTATAACCTTATGTCGCAGAATTTGTCTGTAGAAGGGCTATCTATTTATACTATAAAATATAGAGCGTCTTATTAAAAAAAAAAAAAATGTCGGTAGCGTTATAGGTCTGTCATGGCCCAAAAAAATAGAAAATATTGCAGAAATGTGACAATGTCTATTTACTATAATTGACCTGTTTCGGCGATTTTTTTTAATTTCAACTGGAAAAAAATATGAATTTTGTTCCATCATTTTGAGACACACTGTATAATGTTTAGATGTACATGAACCTTAAGATTATCCAAAAAAACTATCAAAATGCATTACAACTAATTAAGATAAAAATATGTTTTAGTTTGAAGTAAATCAGAAAATATGTTAATAACTAATAGCTTCATTTTTAGCAAAATTTCATTAAACAAAAGAACCTAGTTTCACTCGTTGAACTATTTTTTTTTAATTTTGGTCATCTGCAATGATATGATGAGTAGCTATTAAAATTACTATTAAAATGTAGTATTGCGGAATATATTCTTGAACGAAATAAACACAAAATTATTTATCTAATTTAATAGAAAATATAGGGCAATGTACAATTTGATAAAACGATAAGAGCCTTTTCTGAACAAGTCGCTTAATAATTATTGTCTATCGCACAAGCGTAAGTTGAATAATAATAAGTACTTATTTAAAACAGAAAGTGCTACGTGGAAAAATTCCTCTTGATATTTTCTGAGTATATGTGGATATGTTAATCACTGTTATTGTTTATTCCTTTGTAACTCCCATAATCACCCGATTTTATACAACTATTAATTCACTATACTTTAAAATGTACCACGATAGTGAACAATCTGTACATTTATAGCCACATAACAAATTAACAATTAACTGTATTTAAATATCGATGTAATTATATAGAAGTTAATCTAGCCTACTTACATTGCTTTTTCCCTCGAGTGCAGTGAAGTACTTTTGACCAACACGGTATCAAATTATATCACAGGTGTTATCAAACTCAAATCACTTTCACATGGCAGAAAACCACAATAATTAAATCGATTACCTATCCCACAACGAACCTCACGTCATCTGCGACTTGGAATCATTTAAACGGAAATTTATAATAGCTATTTTATCTAAAGCTTTATCAGGCCCGCATTTTACACATTTATTGTTTTGCCCACCATACGATTAAGGCAGCGATTTGCATGTAAATAACATAACGTAGTTGCTTGATCTGTCACTAGGCGACGATAAAGATATTTTGCTAAACGCGCCAATTTTGTGGCTTTTACTGTACAGGCTATTACAAATTCGCTTCTCACTACAGGGATCTCGAGAACGGTAAGAGATACAAACTAGCTTAAATGGGAGCAAAGTTGCGTAATCTGAGGATCAACATTATGCCTCTAAAAAATCGAGGCTAACATGATTAGTTTTCAAAATATTTGAAAAAAACTAAATTTTGGAAATCAGTTTTTGTTTAATTTCAGCCTTATTTGAGGTGATATTGAAAAAAGAAGAACACTTTCTCATGGCCACTTTTTGCCCTCTATCGAATGGCATAATCAATTTTTATATGTAACGTTTCGTCTCTCCAGGACCATCATCAACTTCATTTTTTTAAATACATCCCTAGAAATTTTATTACATTTTTTGCAAGCCATTATGAGCCCCAATACTGTACTGCCTCACCCCGAACCAGATTCAGACGTTTTGTCTAAAAAAAATTGATCTTCAGTGTATTCGTTCCAAATTTATCTAAATTTTTTATTTAGATTTCTTTGTTTATTAAATTATCGTACAGTGTAAGTGTCGTTAGACCCTGTGAAATCTAGTTATTTAACCTATTACCACCACGCATTAAAATAAAAAATTATTAGTTTTATTCCCGTGTCCATAGTTATTTCTATGTTTCTCGAGGGCTCAAAATTCAAATAAATTCCGATCTATTTTTTTCAGGATATTCATTCAAATACATCTGACATGCTCTTTCACAGTAGCGGTTACAGATATAAAAAATTCCGATAATATTACGCTAATCTTCATTTTCAACCTTTGCCAAAACGAAAATGTTTTTGAACATTTGCTGAAAATTTTCAAAGAATAATATTCAGTTGGCGTTTTGGTTGTTCATATGCATTTTTAAGAATTAATTTGACATAATAAAATTAAAATTGTAATAATGTTCTAATTTTGACTAAACAACCTATTGAGTTTTGTATGACCAAGTGATGGTAATATTTAATAATAATAAATGTTTTATTGTCACGCGTGTTGGTAATAGCTTAAATAACTAAATGGATTTCACAGGGTCTAACGACACTTACAATATACGATAATTTAATAAACAAAGAAATGTAAATAAAAAATTTAAGATAAATTTGGAACGAATACACTGAAGATGAATTTTTCGAGACAAAACGTCTGAATCTGGTTCGGGCTGAGGCAGTACAGTATTGGGCATCAGGAAAGCTTGAAAAAAATGTAATAAAATTTCCAGGGTCGTGTTTAAAAAAATGAAGTTGATGATGGTCTTGGGGAGACGAAACGTTACATATAAAAATTGATTATGCCATTCGATAGAAGGCAAAAAGTGGCCTTGAGAAAATGTTCTTCATTTTTGAATATCACCTCAAACAAGGCTGAAATGAAACAAAAACGGATTTCCAAAATTTCGGTTTTTTTCAATTATTTCGAAAACTTATCATGTTAGCCTTGATTTTTTCTGTAGTGAGATGCTAATTTGTAACAGCCTGTATAATCCAATTAAATAGGCCTTTAAATCGCAATTTTGATCAACTTGCCTGAATTTTTGATATAAGTTAGTTTGAGGTATATAATAACAATAAGTGACAGTATTTTTTTTTCAACCCCCGGCCAAGGGTGAAAAAAGATAAAATAAAGGGGTTTTTCAAGATAACTCAAAAGGTATAAGAGCTAGAAAAAGAAGTTTCGTATAAAAGTTGTAAAGCATAAAATTCTACATAAAAATGGTGTATTAACTTTTTCTTGTACTATTAAAATTAACAGAGTTAGGGAGATTAGAAGTTAAGGGATGATTTCAGAAATTTAAAAAATCATAACAAATAGAAAAATTAATGAATTTTTTTTCCACTTTACTCTTAAAAATATAACCTAACTTTTCAGAGATAGACATATTTTTTAATTTATAATAAAAAAAGTTATAACAATTTCACCAAGCGAACGTGATTTGTTATGTTTGTCATAAAACATAATTTCGAAAGCAACTTTTTTTATTTTAAATAATTGATCGAATGGCAGAGGAAAAGATTGTTTTAGTGTTAAATAATAAAAATTAACGATTAAATAGTTTTAATAGTTTTAACTTTTTTATTAAAAATTAAAAAATATATCTACTTCTCTGAACAGAAAGTTTACATTTTTTAGAGTAGATCAAAAAAAAATATAAAATTCATTCATTTTTCTGCTTGTTATGATTTTTAAAATTTTTGAAATCATCCCATAAGTTCCAGTCTCCCTAACTCTGTTAATTTTAATGGTATAAGAAAAATTCAATATACCATTTTTATGTAGAATTTTATGCTCTACAACTTTTATAAGAAACTTTTTTTTTCTAGCTCTTACCACTTTTGAGTTATATTGAAAAACCCCTTTATTTTGTCTTTTTTCACCCTGGCCGGGGGTTGAAATAAAAATTACTGTCACGTATTGTTATTATGTACCCTAAACTAACTTATATCAAAAATTCAGGCAAGTTGACCAAATTTCGATTTAAATGCTCATTTAATTGGACTAATAGTGGCAAACATGACCTGAAGACCTTTAGCATTAGAATTCTATCCCAGGTCTTTTTTCTGCCTAAAGAGCACTGCTTTTATAATTTAATTTAGGTATTAAATTAATTTTAAATTTGGAAATATATTGCTCTAAAGTCGGAGAATTCCATTTAAACGTATCTTATCAATTCTACCTATTATCATATTAAATTTTCATGATAAATTGAGATACTTTTAGTAATAAGGGAGGAAGGTGGAAGCTCGGGTTCTCTTAACCAGTCGACCCTCTTTTCAAGGTCAAATTATTTTTGGCAAGCAGAAGCTCGGTCCTCTCCTGCGGTAGACCCAGACTAAATTTCTCATGACATGATATCCGTGTGACATAACAACTTGGTGACCTTGAACGGATTTTTAATACCTAATAATAATAATTATAAACGTCTTTATTGAAATAAGTACCTATTGAGTGATATGTAAAAGAAACAATAGGCAAGGGCGAAGTTTAGCTCAGAGCTATTGCTTAACCCTATAACAAAATAGATTTAAGAAAAAAAAAAGAAAACATGCTAATATAAGTCTTGGAAATAAAATATAACGTAGTCATATGTATAGTGTGATTCGCTATATTTTGACCCCCCATTAACTTTTTTGTTGTTAGATATACCGGGTGATTCAGTTTGGTATTCGCGGCCCTGTATCTCTTTTATTTTAACAAATAGCTATATCAAACCCTATATATTTTCAAATCGCCGCTCAAACTCTATTAAATGACATTATTAGATCGTCTCTATGGTAACATATGTTAAAATTGCTATAGTCAACTGTTTTTGTTCAAATGGCACACTATATATTTTTTTATCAATTCTGGAAGATATTTTTTTTTGCGTTCAGCTATATAAGGAAGGTCTATAGTTTTATTAGAAATATTGTTAGAAAAACAGCAAAAAAGATGAACCCTATACTTTCAATAGCTTTATTCTGAAAAATGATAGCCAGCTTCGAAAACAACTGAATTTTGACGTTTCTAAATAACGGTGTGTCAAAATAATCCATCAGATAAAATGTTCGGAAAGTTAGCCAGGAATTTGGCGGCAGATGGAAATTTTCAAAAGAAAATAAGAGTTTTTAAACCCAGAAGGGCAAGAGATGAAGAACATTCGATAAAGATGTTAAATGGGCTGTTAGATCTCTGGATCTCACTCTTTCTTTGCCCTTACCTAAATGATATTGACGACCTTAAAAACAGAATAAAAGTAGGGTCTAGAGAGGGAGTAATAAACAGAGCTATTCTGTGTTTAGAAGCAAAAGTAGGTCATTTTGAACATTCGAAATAAGTATTGTTTTAAATTATTATATTATTATCGTATTAAAAATAAAATTTGTTACTTTAAAAAACATAGTAGCTAGATAAGAAATAGGGTTCATATTTTTTGCTGTTTTTCTAACAATATTTCTAATGAAACTGTAGACTTCCTCATACATATAGCTGAACGCAGAAAAAAATACCTTCCATAATTGATTTTTGACATATGTTACCACGGAGACGATCTAATAATGTCATTTAATAGAGTTTGAACGGCGATTTAAAAATATATAGGGTTTGTTATAGCTATTTGTTAAGATAAAAGAGATACAGGGCCGCGAATACCAAACTCCCGGTATATAAAAATGTGAAATACAAAAGTTGCACGAATTTCTATGAATTTTTCGAAAATTATAGTAGAAAAGCAAATGAAGTCCTAACAAAATGGTCGCGGATGTTAACTTTGTTAATTTAAATGGAACACCTTGTATATTTTTCATTTTTGGATAGAACGTTCCCTATCGAGCATAGTCATATTATAGGGTTTATTGGGTTCATTTCTAACAATAAGCGAGATACCATTAAAAAAGAAAAGAAGGTTTTTTATTAAGAAAATAAGATATCTTGTAATTGTTAGACTAGAATTATTTCTGCTTTTTTTTCCAATACGTAAAGATTTACTGATTTAGCTGTAATATATTTTGACATATCGGACATTGATATGGTCCAAAATGCATATAGGTATTTTAACTAAATCTCACTAATTAAGCCGTGAGAGACCTAATTACTCATGGACAATGTTATACGGTAGGCCGTGACAGTGACAGGTAATGTCATGACAACATTGTTATTGTTTGATGGTTTATATTATTATTTAATTAAAATGGGTTACACAGAAATTTGAAATATTATAGGAATCAAAATAGAGTAAAGATATTCTCCATACTTTACATTAATTCCTAATAATATTTCAATTTTCTACTTCTGTGTAACCTATTTTAATTAAATAATACAAATTGTCAATCAATAATAATGTTATCATGACATTACCTGTCACTGC